TTGTCTTTACTATTTGATCTGATCCAATAGCAAAGTGAAATAAAAAATGCATATCAAACAAGAGCTGTGGTCTTAAGAGGTTATTAATTCATGATTTTTTTTCACCGTGAGCTTCACATTTCTTACTTTGAACGAAATAAATCAACAGCTATGGATGAATTGACAGGAAATCTGGCGCACACACACATTCATGTTCCCTTGATGCAATACCTTCATTCCTTAGTGCCACCCGACAAGCAAAAACAATAGTTTGTCCTGCAGTTTGGTCTGTCAACAGATACCTACGAACATTTTCAGCTGTGTTCAGCTTTTTGTTTCGTGCCAGTTAGGAAGTGTTAGCATGCTACTGTGCTAAACTTGACTGGAGCACATGATTTAAATTATACCTGCTGAACAGTCGTAGACTCGTTGTGTTGTTAGCAGATGTGGGCTTCAAGTTGTTCGCTGTTATAAATATAGATAAAATGTAAGGCGACAACAGATTGCACGTCCTGAATTGTTTTTCGGTGAGTAAACTGTTCTGCACATTTATTTTCGGCCACATTTACTGTGTTGATGCTGATGTAAGAGATGGTTTAGGTGCCTCCTCTTAAGGGTCTTTACAGATGCTGTCCAGGAAATCATCTTTTTGAGGCAAATCATACTCCTCATAAATAAGGTGTTCCTATTCTTGCGTTTCTTTCACGTTTTCTGCACTTTTTGTTTTTACAAAAAATATTCCGAAATGATGCATTTTTGTAAATGAAGAGAGCATTAGGTCCGTACATGATTACTGTCAGCGCTGCGTTCTCACTGGAGCCGTATTCCCACACTGGATTTGGTAGCAGCCTAATGAGTTGGTTGTACTCAAGTGTTTTGGGGCTTTTACAATCACATTTGATCTCAGCAAATCCTTTCTCATCGCAGGGAAGGGAAAATGTATGATAGGATGCTTTGGTGGTAATCCAGCTTCAACGGAGACTCCTGCTTTGTCTCGATGCAGGATGAAAGAGAGATTTACCTTCATTTTTTGTGAAATAAGAAACAACACAGCTCTGTCAGTGAGTGTCATACTCACAATCATAATTTGTTTTTGTGAGCATTTTTGTATTTAATCAGGTGAAAAATTTGATGCTTAAAGAGCTGAAGATGTTTTGGGCTGCGCTAGTTCATGAGGCAAATCAGTCATTATTGTAAATGTCTTGTTTGTGTGCAGTGGGGGAAAAAAAAGTACAATTCACAGAGGATTCACATCTTACATGGGCTCAAAACGGTTTAAGAAAGGATAAATAAAACATGGTGTGTGACATAACCCATTTCCATAGTACTGCTAAGGCTGAAAAGGATTTTGTGAGAGCTATCTTTTGAAGATTGCCCTTCACTTTACACTCTTGCAATTTGACTTGGGACTCCAAATAGTCTGCGGGATTATCGTACCAACATTGTGCTTCTGCCTCATCAGCGTTACCACCTGTAGGGAGACTAGAGGGCTGTGTGGAATGAAAATCCAACTGCTTGGCTGAAAGTATGTATTGTGCGTTCTGTGAATATTTAACAGGGTCTCATGTTTCTCTCTCTGGATACCTAGAAAAACCCTGAAAGCATGTATCGCCCAAACATGGTTAAATTTTAATATTTTAATCTTTAGGCTTCAAGGTTTTAGTCGCTTGGTATCATCTTTAAATGTTTACTATTTTTCCATGTGCACCAATGATAGCCATGGCCAGAGGAATTTTGTTTGGGTGTCTGTCTTTCCCATCCATCCCCAGTATCTCTTGAATTTCTTGAGGTTTGGCACAGATGTTTGCTTGGAGGGTGAACCAACTGGATTTTTGGTGGTCTGAGGTCAGTGTGACCTCAGAAAACACACTTTTGGCCATAACTCCAGAATTCATGCACTCAGGATTAAAAAACAAAAACAACAACAACAAAAAACACTAGTTGTCTAATAGGATAAAATAAAGTGATGACATTTTATATCCAAGATGCCACCTTCACTGTGACATCTTAATATTTGCAAAAACACATTTCTGGCCATTTTGAAAAACCGCACCTCAGGAACAGAAGAGGAGGTTGTGATGATTTGGTCATGTACTCAGTTAGTGACACTAATCCTCAGTTTCCACCTTTTGAATTTCTTGCTGCATACACTAAATGAATTTGGACAGACATGGGTGTCAACTGCCATTTCATACAACTGCAAAACAGTAATTGAAGTTTGGGATATTACAGTTTATGTGGACACGCCAGCTGTCACACAAGCAAGTCAAAGGCAAAAACAATAAAGCAATGCCTACACATGGCTACCACATGTTGCAGTGCAGTTTAAAGCTCTCTGCTGTGTGTTGTCTCATACAAAAGGCTCCGAATAAGCGACAAAAATAAGCATTAATGTACTAATAAAAGCATTAACAGTGTGAGCATATGTTGTGAAGCTGCATTCTGAGTTACATGTACCACCTAAAGATCTAATACAAATATAAATGGAGGGAATGGAAGGACGTATTTCTCAGAACAAAACAGCAGCGAAAAAACTCCCAGTACATAATGTTAAAATCCAAAAGTAATTTCAGCGTTTGTCTTACATGGCTATAAATAATTCTTTACAGCTGATTCTCTGCTGATCCGGCTCGCGCTTCCACTGGTAACAATTTCATCATATGATTAATTTATCATGTGTCATCATTGCTCCCTCTTATCTCTGTACGTCCTGTTTGTCCAACCATTCCTCAGCCCCGTAAAGGCTGAGGCTGCAGTGGAAAAGAGGAATATTAAATTATTCCTCATTTTTCACAGTTTGTCATTTTTGCACAAGCGAATAAATACAAAAAGTCCAAACCAGTCCGCCGAGGCTTCAGTCAGCGATCTAATCAAAACAGATGAATTTTTATTATTATTATTGGAAAAAAAAACAAAAAACCGAGAACCATGACAGGAGGAGATCCTTGCAATGATACACAATTTATAGTGTTTAAAAAAACAAAAGTGTCTAAATACGTGTAAGTCACCCACAGCCCTGACAGCGTTTTCACAAAGTCGCTTCATACACTGGATTATCTTTTGGAGGCTGGTTGTTCTAAAAGAGAGGTTTTCATGTTGGCAAATCGACATTGAAGAGAAACGGAACAGCAGGTTATATTTATCTAGGATGGTGTTTGTAGTAAAAGTTGTATCATGCTCTGGGAGTACGAGTGAGAGCCGGTCGTTGGGGAAATGTCTGGCTTTGTTCCAGCCACTATCAGCGGGAGATTTTTGGGGAAGTGCTGCGCTGATTAAGATTGAGCACAGTGCATTAAGAGAGAAATTTACAGGCTTGAAAGGCTGCCTAAAATGCTTATTTGGTCTGTTAAAATTACATTACAAAGCGCGAAACTGAGACAAAATGACATATTTGCGTAATAGTTTATTTTTTCCCCCCCTGGCAACATATTTGAATACTGCCTTGTTGTATCGTTGCCTGTGCTTGCTTCTGGATACAGCAGTGGAGCGTCAACATGGTGGTCCAGATGAACACCTTCACTCCCGTCTGTGAACAAATCTCACATAGGAACCAGATTCTGAACGTCTGAGTCAGGGTCAGAAGCCAGCAGAGTCGACGAGAGGCTGCCTCTGTACTTGAGCCGTGGCCCCGGCTGACCTCTGACCTCTGACCTCGCCTGTCACAGAAGCAGCTCTGTGCTCCCATTGGTCCCGGACAGGACGTGCTCTGTTAGGGAGCGCTTCCCTCCTTTATCTTCCTCCATTCATGGCAGTATTGAAGCTAAAGCGTTATCTTCTTCCTTTGTGATTAACTGAACGATAACTTCACACTTTTTTTCTATGTGGATCCATCATCACAAGTGTCCCCTTACACACTGTCGCATTGTTTTCACATTAAGATTTGATATCATTTTAGAAATATCTGTCACTTTGCACAGTGATACTTTGTTTTCATTTATATATTTAGCACCTTAAATTAATCAAGTTCGAACTTATCCGTTTTCAATTGCGTCTGGTTACATGTGAATGCACCGCCAGGACTGTGCTCTGTGCAATAACAGTAAAGGAATCCATCTATCTTTAATTATGGGTTTCAATGTACAATGCACAATTTTTATTGAAATTTTGATTTTATGCAGCGAAGCACAAACCGCGAAGAGTGGCAGGCTGACAACTCAGCATTTCGTGTTCCCCAGTCTGTTTGCAAGTGGCAAGAGAATACAGAGCATGCTGTTACTTTAACAATGCAGGACCCATGCTGACTTTATCTACGATAACAAGCTGGAAATTGCTTTGCCGCCTGTGTATATGTCAAGAAGATAATGTTTGTTCAGGCTTTTCTTGATGTGTTTTGGCACAAGCAAAGAGACGCCAAAGATTTAGGCAGTGGTTTGTTTTTACACACCTAATATGAAAAAGATTGCTTCTCCACTTTCGGTTGTTGTGGATTGCTTTCCTTCTTTACCTTTTAAGTCATTTGCACGGAATATTTCGAGACTTTTTCTTTGTCCCCAGCAGGGACCAGATGGGCCATTTTCAAAAAGTGATAAATTTGTTGTCAGCTCTTTTGTTTTATGAAGCATAACAATGGCCTCGCTGTGCACAAATTAGCACTTTCTTCACATTCATAAAATTTCATAGTTTATGACGGCGCAAGGCGAAGAAATTTTTCTCGAGTGTGTGTGGTGGCAGCGTGCTGACCTACAGGAAAGCACACATGCATGGATGTGAAAGACTGTTTTAGGTTGTGCTCTGTCTAGTGGGAAAACAAGGAGGATGTTTCATCAAGTGCTGCGGTGATGCCACTGTGGAGCTTTTTTAGTATATGAAAAATCACATTTATGCCATTTGCAAGAGACTTGTGTGTCAGATGAGGAATCTAAAGTGTGTGACATCTCTGTAGCAACTTAGAGGTCGTTCCTCTCCTTCAACATCTGGCTCATTTATCACGGTCGATGAGTTTCATCCCTGTGTTTCAGTTTCCTGGACTTGTGCCCTGAAATAAACCCAGCTTCTCCTGCTCTGTCCTTGTTTTTACCCAGGTGTAGCTGCAGCTCCCGCCCGCACCACCCGCCAAGATGGTGGCGTTGTCGCTGAAAATCTGTGTGCGCCAGTGCAACGTTGTGAAGACGATGCAGTTTGAGCCCTCCACAGCTGTCTATGATGCTTGCAGGATCATCAGAGAGAGGGTCCCGGAGGCTCAAACCGGACAGGGTGAGAGTTCGGCTCATGCATGTCCACGGATGTCAGCTCATTGCAAAAAAATTGGTATCTGTGATTATGTCAGTCAACACATGACAACAAAGTGAAATGCAGAGACGCCGCAGATGCTTTGAAACTGTGTTACCATTCAGTAGTGTGTCTATCAGAGAGAAGTGACCTTCAAGTGTAAAATGTTTTGCTCAATACATTTCTTGGCTGCAACTGGTAAAAAAAGACCCTTATCAGAAATGTTTATTTCTACTCTAAAATGAAACCTAATCTCAGCCGAGACATCATGATCAGATTTGTAAAAAACTCTCACATATCAGTATCAGATTCAACAAGTTTTCAACATTTCCCAGAAAGGACACAGGATGGTATATAGACCAGAGAAGATTGTTCAGGAGGTTTTACAGTGAAGACAGAACCGATCTTGGGAAAGATTAGTGCAGCAGGCAATAATATATTGGGTGTCAGTTCATAAAAGTTTCACAGTTACCATTTGATTTAAACAAGTTAGGCTAATATCTTACAGAGCGTTGTTCATTGTTATTTGATAGGTTAATATACAAAATCCACTATTTTAGAGAGGAATGAGGGGCGCAAAACAGGGGAAGCGCAAACTGCTGAGTCAATAAAGAAAACAACTAATCAGCCTCCTGCCTTTTTGTGCAACAATTTGAAGTGGTTGTCATGGCAGTGAAGATTTCTTATTGTCTTCTTATTTATTTTTCTTTGTATTGTTGTCTTCTAAACTAATGACTGGCTCACGTCAGGTTTAGTCTTTTGATATGGCCACTGCACCTGTGATTAGTCAGTCACCAACGCTCAAAGTCTTTCCTTGACTTCCATCAGTCATAGCTTTCGTGAGCTGTGGGTCCGACTTATCTTTTCTACTCGACTGCACCAGAGTCATCATTAGCCCTTCTGCTTTGCCATGTTTACAGATGAGGGCTCTGGACTCCTATTAACCATCCTAACAGAACATGTGTTTGAAGCAGAAAGATTTTTGCCAGGTGCTGCGTTGATTGTTTGCCACCGCTACGACATGCTAGATGGGATAAAATGAGCAATCGCTGTGCCTCATGTTCAGTTTCATTCCCTAGACCCTGCATCTGTTGCTTTGGAACCATTATGGAGCTGATATCACATAATCCGATCCTGGCATAAGGAATCATTTCCATCTCTAAAGTGTTGATGTTTCTCTCCGCTGCTCCAGCTTCAGACTACGGTTTGTTTCTGTCTGATGAAGACCCCAGAAAAGGCATCTGGTTGGAGTCTGGAAGGACACTGGACTATTACATGCTTCGCAACGGGGTAAATATGTCAATCTGTTTAACCCACAAACACATACCATGGAGTGAATGTTTACTCTGAGCTGTGTGTGGCAAAGGGCTAAAGCGAACGGCCGAAGAATAATGCGTTACCACAAACACACAGAGTTACCTTGGGAGCTGTGTGCGACTGAAACCCCGGAGAGGCATGTGTGAATAACATTGACCCGAACAAACTCATCAACAGCACACACTGGAGTTCAACACAAACACACATCTGACATTATGTGTGTAGCTGTTGTCATCATATTAACATCTGAACTTTATCCAGATTTTCTGATTGCAAATTGCTGACTGATGAGATCACAAACAATGTAATGATCTTTGTTTGAATAGAGCAGCGAAATGTTTTAATAATGGACCATAATTAAACTATTTAATTTAATTAAAAAAAACAAACTCAAAAAAATTAATCCACTGAAGGGAAATTAAAACCAGGCGGTTTTTTGAAACAGCTGGGAGCAAAGATGTACAATGTCGTCCAGGCAGAAGTCATGCACGGGAGAACAAAAACAGTGAGACAGAACGGGAAGATAAAAGCGGCTGGTTAAAATTGGATATCAAGACAATGAGAACATCAAAAGAGGCTTTTATAAGTGAGTTTTAAAGAAGTGCTCCGGCCAGCTGTAGATCGCTTGCCAGCTTGTTTTAAAGTCTCTGATCGCTGGTGCCAAAGGCCCGGCAGACTCTTGAGTTTTCTGTGTAGCTCTGCCTCTCAGCACATTTGTGGTTGTAGTTGTGCTTCTCTAAACGGTTTTTCCTCTTCAAATTCACCAAAGGCAACCCAGGTAGAAGGCATGACTGTGACCAATTACTCTGAACCAAATCTCTCCTCATTGTTGTGATTGGAAGGGAGCAGCAGGCTGTGATAGGCAGCCGTTAAATAAGGTTTTCTGGCCTATATTCTCTCCTCTCGCCACGCAACCTGGACGCATTTGATCATTTTCTCAGCCGTTGCTTTCAGTGTGTTTCTCTCTCTGTCTCTTTCTCTCACATCTAATTCCTGCATTCCTCTCTTCTTTATTTAACTGTTTTTTGTTTTTTTAAAATCCTCTCTGCATTTTGTCTTTGTGCAGGATATTCTCGAATACAAGAAGAAGCAAAGACCCCAGAAAATCAAAATGTTGGATGGTGCCGTAAAGACCATCATGGTGGATGACTCCAAGACAGTGGGAGAGCTGCTTGTGACTATATGCAGCAGAATAGGTACATCACATCTTCAGCTCTGCCTCTTCTACCGATTCACTGCCATTTGTACCTTTACATTGTAAAAACCCTAAACTGTTCTTTGAATGCGATCTGAATCGTTTCTATTGCGTTTGATGGCGCAGAGCTTTTACATCACAGAAAATGAATATGACTAGGAGACAAAAAGAATCAGTTCAAGTGCGAATATGAAATAAAACATACATTCCTGTGTCTCTGATGGGAATTTCCCCCCTTTTGTTTCCAGGCATCACAAACTACGAGGAATATTCCCTGATCCAGGAGACGGTGGAGGAGAAGAAGGAGGAAGGGATGGGCACGCTGAAGAAGGACAGGACGCTGCTGCGTGACGAGAGGAAGATGGAGAAGCTGAAAGCCAAACTGCACACGGACGACGACTGTGAGTTCGGGAAAAGACAACAAACGTGACTGAAATGCAGCATATTTGACTCGAGGGTGGAGTGATCAGTGGTCATTTTTTTTGTTGCTAAAATGCCCTGCGGTGATGGATCTGTAGAATATTTCTCCTAGAGCAAAAACGGTCATGTCTGAATCTTTAATATCAGTACACAATGGCTGTTTAATTTCTTATTTTCACTGCCAACTCCCCTTCTCACATCCCAGCTCTGCTAGGGTTACAGAGCCCAACATAAAACCAATTGCTTTTTTTTTTTTAGTTTAGCAAAGTTATTTATTGCATAGTGATATAATAAACAAAGGAGGGAAAACTGCAAAAAGGAGAACAGGGCCTGCGGGTGTTGCTAAATCAATGAAGCAAATAAAATCAGAAGATGGCTAACAGAGCTCCAACTTGCAAAGTAAACTGCAAAACAGAACAACTACACTTCCTATCCGAGCTGAAACACAAAGGCAGCGGCTCCCCTTGCTCTAAGTGTACCTAACAGAAGAATTCCTGACTTAATGTGGGTGTGGTGGAAAGAGCTAAGCCTGGCCTCGTCTCCAGGCAGTCAAATGAGCGCCTCATTACACAAATCAAAGCCCTGAGCCACTAGCATCCACTAGTAAGTGACAACAGAACACGGAGACTAGTAACCGCCAGCTTCAGTTTGCAGATACAGAAGCAAGTGTTGCGCAATTGCACAGAATACACATTAAATCCCAGCTGCCATGACTAAGAGTTTAGGTTCACTTTAAAACCAGGTGTAGTGATAGCTGCATTATGATTGGAGCACAGAGCGGGGCAGCGGTCCAATCAGGAAGGTGCGAGGCCACCGAGGACCATTAAACCGTCTTGCAACAGCGTGTCCAAACTCACTCCTTTGCTCTCTTATTTTCCGCTCCCTACGTAATAGACACTCCATAGTTTACTGTGTAGTTTTCAAACTGTGACAGGAGTCGAGGGAGCCGTGTGAGGCGATGTGCGATGGAAGAGACAAGAGCTCGCTGCTATTCCAAAAATAATTGGATGTGAGTTTGTGTAGTTTGGAGCGCAGCTTGTGTCAAAAATGCCACTTTTCTACAGAGTCAGAACTCAGTTGTAACTGTGTGTTTCAAGCAGAGCCGCGTTTTAAGACTCGTTGTTACTCACACTGTCCAATAAAGGTTCTTATATGTACTTATAAATCATGGAAAATGGTGCCTTGATTTTGTCAAAGTGGGTCCCACATTAAAAAAAAGTTCTATCAGGAGGGGTAAGTAAATCAAGAAAGTAGATTTTGGAATGAGGAAAGAAGCCAATCAGAAGAAACGTGTAAGATTTGCTCTCATTTGTGTTTTCAGTGAACTGGCTGGACCACAGCCGGACATTCAGAGAGCAGGGGGTGGACGAGAACGAGACTCTGCTGCTCAGACGCAAGTTCTTCTACTCGGACCAGAATGTAGACTCCAGAGACCCGGTCCAGCTCAACCTGCTTTACGTGCAGGTGTGACCCCGACTTTAACTTCTCCTTACCTGCCTCTGCATGTTTGCATTCGGGGAAACTTCTCTGCATTCGCTGTCTCGTAAAAGTAGCCGTTATAGTAGCATCTTGCCGTTGTCAAGAACAGAGACGCTGTGGTGCAGTTTTTGCGCCTGAAGCCAAATCAGATATGTTTAATGGAACTGACGACACATCTTGAAGCTGAGGTTTTTCTCCTCCCACGACCAGGAGAGGACGTGACCACAGAGCAGAAGATGCACTGTAGCATAGATGTTACCATTATTACCTCATGGTGACTAGCAGCTAAAAAATACACAGAGACAGTTGACGGCTTGATGAAGTCTAAAACGTGTGTTTCTGTATTGATGTAAAAAATGTCAGTACTTGAAGTGATGGTCTAAATTTTCTCTGCTTTTTCAAAATCTTTTGCGCAGTTGATGAATGTCTTTATTTGTGTTTCAGGCTCGAGATGACATCCTCAACGGTTCCCACCCCGTATCATTTGACAAGGCCTGTGAGTTCGGAGGCATTCAGGCCCAGATCCAGTTCGGACCTCACATAGAGCACAAACACAAACCTGGATTCTTAGAGTAAGCATCAAGCTCATGAGGGCATTTCTCTGTGACACAGCATGAAGACTTATTGATAATTTAGCATTTTTAAGAAGACGGAATCCCCTCTTTTTCTCTAGATTCTTAGTCAGATATCAGGAGTCGTGCATATTTGACTTGATTTTAGCAGAATAATAGAAAGAAACCTTTGAATTCAGTTTATAAATCCGAAATTGTGAATTTTTGAAATGGACTGTAGCAGAAAAAAATAAATGGAGAGCTCCTTTTTTGCATGAATTTCACCTTCTTCATTTCTTTCCAAGCCTGAAGGAGTTTCTCCCCAAAGAATACATCAAGCAGAGAGGAGCTGAGAAGAAAATATTTCAGGTGGGGTGACGCTGATAAATGTTGATATTTAAAATTTTATCTAATTCTGCAGTGAGCGTTCAGACACTCAATAGGTGGATGTTCTTCTCTGCAGGACCACAAGAACTGTGGAGAAATGACAGAGATTGAAGCAAAAGTGAAATATGTCAAACTGGCGCGATCCTTACGGACGTACGGCGTCTCCTTCTTCCTCGTCAAGGTGAGCTGAAAAAAATAACATAAAAAAATCTCTGTGCTTTTACCAAAAGTGCCAAAGTACCGTTTTATTCAAAGAAGTGATCTTCTACCCTCAGAAAGCGGAAAAAGGAAAACCTAGCCTCAAGTTCTTTCCTTGCCTCTTTATTTATTTATTTTAAATGAGGAAGCAGACTTCGGAATTAGCTGAACTGTAGTCGGTAGCTTTTATCTCCACAGTGTGAAATCTGTCCTCTGGGCTCGGTGTTAACTGGATAAAGAGGTTGATGGCAGGACCCAGCAGGTGGGGAAATTGTCTGTGTCCATTTGAACTTTCAAAGCTTCTTATGTCACCCAAACCCAGAGTACCTGTTGGGAGGAAAAACGCCCGACTTTTCTTTAGGGCTCTCTCAGTGAGATATATAAATACACAAAGGAAGGAACCGTTTGGAGATTCGTAAGCCATACATTTTCCCCTCATACATCTCCTACGTGTTTGTCAGTCTCACTTATTGACCGACTCACACTAGCAGCACCTCCTCTGTGGGGAGTTCCTGGAAGGAAACCAAATGTTGTCAGTGCAGCTGAGTGTGGCACCAAGATTAGTTCAGAGTTGGGTAGGGAGGAAGTGGAGTGAACGGGAGACACTGGGAGACAGGTAGGTAAACCCTAGCGCCACTCCAGAATAAGTCCAGCTGCCACATGATGGGAGCAATTTACTGATTTCTCGTCGTAGTGCCCACAGTATGGAGCTGCTGTGACAAGAGTGACAGATAACTCCTTTTTTTTCTCCCCCAATCTCACATCATTTGTCACCAAGAGGATGTCCTGCATTAAGTCATGGGAAACCTCCCTGTTTGCGCTGAAAAACAGCTTTCCTGTCACTTTTTCGGATGTATTGCTCTCTCTTGGTAATTACAGAAAAAAAAAAAAGTCACTTTCTGTTTCAGAGTCTCTGTCAAACAGTTCCTGGCTTTTCATCAGTAGCTGTCATCACCAGAGGATAAAGATGAAGTATATTAAAACAAAAGCTCCCCGTTGCATGGAGCTCACCTCATCAAGTCTTCATTTGCAGTAGTTTACGTATTCCACAGTCTGCGCTGTACTCAGTCTTTTCATTGCCTTTAAGCATCCCTAAACCATGTTCCACCTCTGAGTTTCGGCTCTGCGTTCCCCTTGATCAGTTCAACATCATACCTGCTCACCTTTGTCGTGTCTGTCATCCTTGAGCATAATCCAGCCGAGCAGAAACATTTTAAAAATAACCCTGGAAAAAATGCAGCCTATAGTCTCTCACCTATAACCTCTGGAGGCCCCGGAGAGTTTATAGGCCCTGCAGGACTTTTACACAACTCACCTCTTTGCCCTCACGTCACAGCCCATCACGTTCTGTCCATCTGCTCCCCGACTGCAGCTCCTGAAGAAACATTTGCTCTTTCCATGCAAGGCGAAAGGAAAAGAAGGGCTCAGTGTTGCAGCTCAGGGAGCGACTGGAGTATGACATGAGAGGTTCAGTGAATGCAGGGGGGGAGGTCGACACTTGTTGACAGGCAGATAAAGACATGATTAAGACATAGCGTTTTAATTACTAACTGGGAAAAGTTAGCTTTTCTTCCCACTGCTTAGATAGTTGAATAGCCATCCTGGCAGATCGGCATGACAGAGAAATTAGACTTTAATGCTGTGAGGCCTATGAATTAAATTTTTTTTGTTGCTTCAGTTGTTAATCTGTCTTGTTCTCTAACTGCCTTTGATTCCAGTAATAACCTCAGCAGGCAGAGGAATAAGAAAATTAAAGAAAATGAACGGGGGGCTATGTTTCTCACTGAAGGAAATAAAGTTGTCACTTAAAAATGGTTTGTTTGAATCTTGAGTTTGGTATTATGTGGATCGACCGTTTTCATTTGTTCGTTGCGGCTTTATTTAGACAGTGTGGTTCAATGAGAGGTAACTGTTTTACACAAGTGCTGTGTACGTTCAAGGCAATGACAGCAGAGATACTGCTGTTCATAAATATGAATACAGAGAAGATAGAACGGATATTAAAGGGATAGTTTGGTTTCTTTGACGTTTTCATGTTGGTCGGATGGTCGGTCCCCAGTTTGGAGAACCAGACAGGAGGACAGCCGCGGAAGTTAAGCAATGAACTTTGCAGCAAAGTGTAGTTGAGCCACCTAAAAACAATCCATATATCTGAATGTACGCTGTATTTTTGGATGTTGGTTCAGATCCAAGTTAACTTAAAAACACTAAGGTCACACAGTAATGCAAAAAAAAAACTAACCAATCAAGCTGACAGTAGACCAGCAGCTCCCGTGTTCTGTGAGGTAAAATTACCGTTTTTGTCAAAAGATTCTGGTGGCTTTAAAGTGAACATGAAGTGATACATGTGCATCAGTTCCTGGTTGGAAAGGACTGTCTGATGGTAAGGTGATGAAAATATTTTAAATGTTGCATACACTTGAACAGAGAGGCGAGTTCATTGCTTAACTTGGATCCTGTCAGCTTCTCCAAACGAGGGGTGCGCTAACCTCAAGTGCCTCATACAACCCCACTTCAAAGCCAACAAAATGTACCTCTAAAACATGCAAAGCCCCAAAATATAGCTTGAAAAAAATGTTGTGAGGTCCTTTAAATCTTGTGACTAGCCTGGCTACCAACAGGCCACAACATTCACCGAATGCCTCGATTGTCAACAAGAAGAACAGATGCAGGCCTTACTTTAACCCGAGTGAACTTTAGTGGCTTTTCATAGCTGCCCCACTCGTCTCCTGACCGGGGCAAGTTGATACCATGCTGGATCCCAAAGCACTGCGATATGGTACTCCCCTGCAGAAAAACAAAGATCGAGGACTATGCATTTATATAAAATCCTTATATGCACAGACTAGATTATCAGAAGTTTACACTTTTTCTTTTCTTTTTCACTTCATGCCCTCTTGTGAATAGTTGTTTTATTCTCAGTATTTATGTTTTGACTAACAATCTACTTGTTTAGGGTCTTTATTGTATGATGCTTTGGTCTGTAGTTCAGTTTTACTCAGTATTTGCCCGGTGTAATGCCTAGTGCTTAATGCAAGTGTTTTTGTAGTGTTTGTAAAGTTTATCTGGTTCAAATGTGTTTTGCAGGAAAAGATGAAGAGTAAGAACAAGCTGGTGCCGCGGCTCTTGGGGATCACCAAAGAGTCCGTGATGAGAGTGGACGAGAAAACCAAAGATGTGGTTCAGGAGTGGCCTCTGACCACTGTGAAGAGGTGGGCAGCGTCACCCAAGAGCTTCACCCTGGTAAGACACACACACACACACTCGACATGCAGTCCAAAGATTTAACGAGAAAACTGGCATCTGTCATCTCACTGGACACTGATGCAACCATATGCCACATTTATACTCAGTGTTTTGATGCTGCTGGCTCTATTTTGTTCCTCGCATTCCCACTAATATCCTTAATCCTAAATACAAACTACAGACTCAGTAAACCCAACAGTTCCTGCAGTGGCTGTAAAACCATCACCGTAGTGCTCAGTCTGCATGCCTGTCCTTTGATTCGCTTGTGCACTTCAGTTATTGAACAGACTCTTTTGTCTTCCCTGTCAGTAGCAGTCCTTTGTGTCAGCACCCGGAGTCAATCAGCAACATGGGTTTAATCTTGCAGATCTTGGAAGACGCACTGTCTCTATTAAATTAACGAAAACTCTTTGCTGCTGTTAATTTGTCGGAGTGCTCTGAGGTTCAGTCAGTGTGTTTTTGTGACACTGTGATTTGAGGTTTGATTTGCTGTTTACATGAGGAGCACAGGTTAATCAGTCAGAAGGTGATGTGGGAGACTAATGAAATGCTTTGAGTTTGCCATTGTGAAAGACACAGACCTCTCTGCACATAGCTTTTCCTTTTTTTTATTTAGTACAAAAAACAGAGCAATGCTCTGCTGAAAGAAAGCAGTTTCCTGTGCAAAGTTTCCCCCAAGATGACTCTTGGACTAATCTGACTCTCTGTAGGTTGCAGCAGTTTGATGTCAGCCCAATACAATGTGTAGAGTTCATCTGAGACTAACTGTCTCCATGGATTCACATTAATCCCCACAGTAAATCCTTAGCCTGTGTATAGTCGCACACACAGCACTGGTTACTTTCCTTACAATCCAGCATGAAATGCATGTTTAAGATCAAGCTGTGTGTGTGTCTGTGTGTGTGTGTGTGCGTGTAGGACTTTGGGGAGTACCAGGAGAGCTACTACTCGGTTCAGACCACTGAAGGGGAACAGATCTCTCAGCTCATTGCCGGTTACATCGACATCATCCTCAAAAAGGTGAGACATTTATCTCTAGAGACACGGATGAATCCTAATGAATCAATATCCTCCTGTGGCAGACACATTCTCAGATCTGTTGATGCTTGATAGAGCCTGACCACTGTGACATCCAGCTGCAGTTAAATGAAAAGAAGCACAGGAAAGCTGGGCTCTTGTGTCGCAGGTACATTGCAAGAGCTGGTCATGCAGTTTAGAGCAAACGGTGAAAGACAGAATACATCTCTGTGCACCTGGGGTATTGAAGGGCAGTGTGAACCTGTTTCATATAATGTTCAGTCTTAATGACCTTATTCTGGTCTGTCTTAAACCTAAAAAAAAAAAAAAAACAGGAGCAAATATGTGGGTGTCTGAGATCAATTTCCTGCTCTGACTCACCTCAACAAACATCTGCTCTATTGTTCTCTCTCCTGCAGAAGCAAAGCAAGGACCGCTTCGGATTAGAAGGTGATGAGGAGTCGACCATGCTCGAGGAATCTGTGTCCCCGAAAAAGTATGTAAATCAGCCTGACCATTAAAAGTGCCTGAACTGTTCTAGCCATGCTAGCTTCAAAAGTCAGCAGCTCAGTGCGTCCGGTGTGACTAATTATATTCTCACTGTGCTTTGTTTTTAGCACTACTTCACAGTTTCCATTTGTTCCGAGCTTCGCTATAGTACAGTCCTGCCGTATGATGATGTTTGACTATGAGCACAGTAGCAGCATACAGAGTTTTCTTATATTATTGTAACAAAACACAAGATTAGACCTTTTTTTATTTCCTTCTCTGTGCCGCCGTCCACCACAGCCCACACATCCATCTTTCAGGACCTCATTGTGCCACAGGAACACTTCCTTAGCTAGACCTTATCCTGTAAGATAATCATTATGTGAGGAAATGCTGCTGCACCAGACAGGCAAAGTCTCTATCTGAACATTTCCTGATTAGATGTATATTAGCTCATTTACCCACAGAGGACTCTCGGTACGTAACTGAAGCCCTTTTCCTGCCAAGCCTGGGTTGATATTGCTTTCCTGCTTTCAACTGAGAGAGTATTTGCTGAAATTGTTATTGTATTTTTTCTTTTTTTCCTTTTATCTGTTGTATGCACGGCCGACGGCAAAAGTCTTTAATACTGCAAAGACATTGCAAGCCAAACTCTGGAAGGCCTTATCTTCAGAAAAACAAAACAAACCTTTGTCTTCCAGAAGTACACAGTGGGAAGACTGTGCAGTGTCATTCTGTTTTGTGTTAATGACCCACAGTCACAAATGCACAAATCCACCCTGCCTGGTGCTAAATTTGTGCCATCGAAGCTCATACTCAGACAAGAACCAGTCACATCCCATCTTTTTAGCTTCTTCTAGGGGCTTTAAAAAAAAATCACGGTAGTGTTTTGCACTGAAGACAGGATCTTGTTTTACAGACGTATTGATTATCACTAAACAGTAATAGATGCTGCATTGCAAGGCTCCAGACTGTGACGGTCACGGTCTCTCATGTGAAGTTCGACTAAACATTTTCATTGGTTGCACTGGGGAGCCTGACACTGAACGTGTCCGGCTGTGTGGTTGAACAGTTAGACATGATTACTTAGTTTAGTCTTGGGTAAATCTGACCTTAGAACACCTAATTTCACTCTTTTCAAACTAATTTTTTGATGCACACTAGTCTGAGCTGCATGTGGTACTCGAGGCTTCTCTGTGGACAGTCACAGTAACGGTGTCGTATGTTGCGCGTTAAGACGGATCATTAAATTATAGAATCCACCTGTAGTTTGCATCTGAGGCGTTTAGGGGACATCTGTAAAATTTAGCTTCAAACAACAACCTTGTTTACACTCTCCCCCTCATCCTTCAAGTCTCTGCATGCACATCAGTCACGCTGTCCAACACAGCACTGCTGATACGTTGTCATTCAAATCAAATCAAGTTTATTGTCATTCTGCTGCACATACACAGTAGTGCAGGCAAGATAAGAGAGTGTTTATTCAGAAACCAGCAAATTTTGCAGAATACACGTCTGGGATACGACACTAAATGTTCGCTGCCGCTGCCTCCTGAAGGGACCGCAGCGTCCATTTGCCATTCATTGAACATGGCGAACCTCTTCAGGTCCTGGTAGGTCTTCAGGAGCACAAACACACACACAATGGTGTGACGATGATGAAGCTACAGATGCTGCCCAGAGCTAGCTGCCTGTCTGTCCACCCGGGACAATGTCGTCCCATCCAGCTTTATGTCCGTCTGGGATGTTGTCATGGAGCCATGTTTCTGTTAAAGCAAACACACAGCAGTCTTTCCACTCTCTGCAGGTTTCCCTCAGCTTGTTGTCAAGGGGGCGGACATTGGAGAAAGGGGCGGACATCAAGTTATGATAGACTGTCCAACAATATACAATGTATTGCACTTACTGCAGAGTGCAGTCAAAGCGTGACTGGCCGCAGTGCTTTTACTGTCAGCGCATCAGTGTTTTTGAACTGAATTGCTAAATAATCATAATGTCTCCAAGAAACTCATATTGTGCCGCTACAGGTGTGTAGCCAACAGAGCAGCTCCCCCCTTCCTCACAATGTTTCAGCACCAGGTAGCAGCAAATCCCAGCAGTGAAGAGTCAGAAATGACTATAAAACTCATCACTTCCTTTAATATAGCCAGAGAAGAGCCATCTTTTATTAAGTTTTATTAAGTCCCAGATTAATCAAATGAAAAAGAACAGCTTAAATGTACAAAACATTTGTCTGCACCTTCACCCTGTCTACTGTCAGTCAGTGTGTTAACCTTTTATTGGCCATGTGCCCATATTTGGTAACTCCAGTTTGACTTATTTTTTGAGATTAGTGCCACGAATACCACTACCCCAAGAAAAATGTTTCTCAATTATGTTGTTACTAAATGTTATGAAGTCCTATAAAGGGTTAAGACATCACCAGAGTGTATGAGTACTGACAATATAGGTAGTATTTCAAATATGTTACTTGCGCTAAAAAACTGTAGGTTCAGCTAAATGAACAAGTTAGTCGCACCAGTGCAACCAATAAAAGGCTGGTCTGGAGTCCTGATTATCATTTTTAGTTTCAGTGCTCATTCTTCCACTTTTATCTACTTGCAGGTCGACCATCCTTCAGCAACAGTTTAACCGCGTTGGCCGCGTGGAGCACGGCTCCGTGGCACTGCCAGGGGTGATTCGCTCCGGCTCCATCGGCACGGAGTCGCTTAGCATGGGTACCATGCCATCTGCTCAGCAGCAGATCACAATGGGCCAGATGCACCGCGGACACATGCCACCACTGGTAAGAACAGTAGGAGCACAAGCAGGATTGTGTTTGATGAAATCCTGTTAATGCCGCTAATGTAAGAGTTTGTTTAAGCGATACAGCTGGGCAGAAGTATTATCATTTTCCACTATGTCACCCCAGGGGACAGTTTTCTTCCCTTAGTTAAGTTCATTTAAAAGTCACTGAGACACTGAATCTGTTTATTTTCCTTCATGTGTAGAGCTCAGCACAGCAGGCTCTGATGGGAACCATCAACACCAGTATGCAAGCCGTACAGAAGGCTCAGATAGACCTGGGGGAGGTTGACAACCTGCCGCCACTGGGACAAGACATGGTACTGTACACTGCACATGTACACTAGCAACAGTCACACACTCATAAATGACTCTGTTCCACATATTACATTAATGTATCACTGTTGAAGGACACATCCAGTGGTGATCGCTGTAAACAGTTGAACTGACTGCCATGTTAAAGCTGCATTGACTATTTGTGGTCTCTTTTTAGGCATCCAAGATGTGGATCCAAAACAAGATGGATGAATCAAAACATGAGATCCACTCGCAGGTCGACGCCATCACGGCAGGAACAGCCTCTGTTGTCAACCTCACTGCTGGTCAGTGGCTCGGCATGACTCAGCAGAATGTGTCTTTCTTTATTCTTCCTTAGGACATGAATCTGTTTGTCCACTAGTAGGACAAGTATTTATTGCACTCTAAAGGAAATAAAATGACTTGATAGCGGAGCTTAGCTTTACATTGTTCAATGTTGGAACTTATTGAAAATTCAATTGAAATGATTTAAAGTCTTAAACGAACCAATAGTGAAGCCAGTGAAATTGTAAATACTTGCGCCCGCACTTTTATGAGTACATTTTAGTGGTTCTGTTTTCTGCAGTTAAAATTATTTGGCCAATTAGTGACTTTAAAGTAGAACTTTTCCATCCGCCTGGTGTTCATTGCCATCTTTGTAAAGCTTGTATAAAGTCTCATGTCGTGCTGTGGTTTGGAGGATGTGGGCTGCTGAGGGTATCGACTGGCTCTGTATCACTCCATGTTGAAATTGGTTGATTACTTTTTTATTTATTTTTATTTTTCAGCTTTAGACTGGTAACAGATGGTCCTTGGTTTATTTATTTTTTCCTTCTTACTTACCTCTGCTAAAATAGACTGATGCGTTTATGCAAAGTCTCTAATCTCGGTTAAAGGCAAATATTTTCGCCTCATTGCTGAACGTTTGCTTCCTTTACGCGAGTCAGTAAATCTGAAGAAAACTCACTGGAGAGCAATTGAGCTCGACTTTGTTTGGGTTCGGAGTCGCTTCTCTAGGATTATGTTTCCCTCACGGTCTTTCTTTTTCTGTCCTTCCTCAGGTGATCCCACCGACACGGATTACACAGCGGTGGGATGCGCCATCACCACTATTTCCTCCAACCTGACTGAAATGTCAAAGGGCGTGAAGCTGTTGGCTGCACTGATGGAGGACGATGTGGGAGGAGGAAATGACCTGATGAAGGCCGCCAGGACACTTGCAGGAGCCGTATCTGACCTGCTGAAGGCCGTGGAGCCGGCCTCTGGAGAGGTGAGCAGCAGCATCTTGAATGAAGAATATGATGCTAAGTACAATTCAGCTCTACCCCTCTTTGGTTTTATTAGTATGGCAGTACTAATTGTGCACACTTGTAATTAGTGTGTAACATCTGATGCTTGCTGCCCATGTGAAAGGGTGAAGAAGTCCACTTGGGTTGTTGTGTCAAAGTCCTTCACTGAAAATAAAAATCTGAAGGACATAATGGGAGGTATTGGTGTAGAACTGAAATGTGAAGCGCAGACCAAAATTGCACACTGTCTTGAGCCCAAACTAAATAGAGGAGGAGTTGAGGGCACATGGATGGAGAGGAAAGATTGTTGAAAGAGACAGAAAATGGAAAATAATGTGTGAAAGTGATGCCTCACTCTGGATTTGAGTCCAAGCAGTAAGTAAACTTTTTCACCATTTGTGTTCCTGAAAAACGCCAGATTTTGTGTGTACTCGATTGTCTGCACAATCTTTTGTTCTGTCCAAACTTGACAACCCTAAAAAGCTAATTAAATTTGTCACCGAGCAGCTCAACCATGAGACAACATGTCGCCTCTTAATAATGCGGTGTTTGTCCTGGTCCTAAACTTCTGTAAATACAATAACATCCTTCACTGCTCGACGGCTTCAGCTAACGGAAGCGTTTTTGGATGATCTGTATATGAACCGAGCTGATTGACAAGTTTCTTCTGTCTTTACAGAGACTAAGGTACCCTTAAGATACTGCAAAGAACACTTGGTGAATCATTCACAAATGTGCTCATGCAGCCTGCATCTACTTGGTTTGCAGGGCTTTGATGTTTTTTTCACTGAGGTCTATTAAGAGTTGTTTTGTTGTGAAAGAATCATTCAGAGGTTAATGTACTGCTCAGTGTCTGGCCGGTAATCTGCATATCTCACTTTGGCACTCGTGTATTATGCATTCAGGTAGTTGGAAAGATAATGTGCAGCCTTTAGATACGGAGAAGTGTAGTCCATCTTTAAGAGTTTAACCTCCTGAACCCCAAAACCCATCTGCTGGTTTAAAAGGCATGTTATCTTTTTTTTTTAAATGCCAAAGTTACAGCCTTTATCAGTCAGAAACTGTAAAGTAATTATCCGATTTTTAAGTTTTCAGATGGTCCTTGAATGCCTTATCTGTGGCTCTACATTGTTTTGGAACATGTGGACAAATCTGCGCCTAAAATCGTGATATTTCATCAAAATTACTTTATTTTACATGTCTCATTTAAAAATATGACAAAAATAGCATGTTTGAACTAACCAGATTCTGTGAAAGGCAAAAAAAAAAATCTGCAGTTTTCGACAACTGTGAGGCCTTTAGTAGGAACTTAATTGCACCAACATCGTATGACAAAAATTCTGTGATTTTTCTGCTAGATTGGGCTGAACCTGTGTTTACACAGAGCAAATATGAGAGCAGTAGTAATAAATTAAAAGCACTATTTAAATCTATTTTAGAGCTGCGTGGCATTATAACATTATTATAGTAAACACAAGACATTTTTTAAATTCTCTCTGCGTTCACCTCATAATTGTGCCACTGATAAAACAGATTCAGCACAATATACAGTATCTTAAGATACAAGATGGCGCCAGGTGTTTAAATGCAGTATCACATCCTGATGGTTTTTCTATGTGTGTGTGTGTGTGTGTGTGCAGCCCAGACAGACTGTGCTGACAGCGGCAGGCAGCATCGGCCAGGCCAGCGGAGACCTCCTGCGCCAGATTGGAGAGAGCGAGACAGACGAGAGGTTCCAGGTAACAGCGCAGCCTGTTCATTTATCAACATCACCGCATTCAGAGAAAAGCCAGCGTTCAGGAGCTGCCACTCGCTTAATCAACATCACACAGTAACCAGGGGAATATGAGGGGAATGTTTTCTTTAAAATTTAACTACACATTTTGGTTTAAATTGAAGGCTTTTCTAGCTGCTGCGCTTGCGGTTTGCGTTTTATAACTCGTGCTTGGCTGGTCATTGTTGTTATTGTAATACAATGTTGGTGGTTAGGTTACGCACCGATACATCAAGTCATCACAACTTTTCTTCAGCCTGCCTTACGCAAACACACTGTTTTGGTATTTTACAGCACTTCAGTAATGATGAGTTGAACAGATGTGGAGGGGCTAAATGTGTTTTTTTAATTAGATTAGACTGTTGATGCTGCAGCTTTGATGGCACTTGTATAGTTAAGTCTATGTTTATAATGTACAAATAGGCAAACACCACTGCTTTTCCCGTTAGACAGTAAATGGGATGGCAGTTAGATGTCCTATTTCTGTACAATGTTTGCTAGGATGTCCTCGCAATTAGTGCAATTACACACAATTACAAACCAAATCCTTTGGTGTAGAACTGTACGGAGTGATAATTTAACATTTATCTGCACTATTTGAATGCTAATGCTTCTATCTGTTAATGGAGATGAGGTCAAAATGGTATATGTATGTGCAGGTATTTAAAGTTGCTGATGACATACTGCTGTTTGGGTGTTGTTGTTGTTTTTTTTCATCCTTGTCACCTGTTGCTATAGGACGTCCTCATGAATCTGGCCAAAGCGGTGGCTAATGCGGCGGCCATGTTGGTGCTGAAGGCCAAGAACGTGGCCCAGGTTGCAGAAGACACCGTCCTCCAGAACCGGGTCATCGCTGCCGCCACACAGTGCGCCCTGTCCACCTCGCAGCTGGTGGCATGTGCCAAGGTACAAAAATATGTTCTGTTGCACTCTGAAGTGATGTCAATAAACCCACTCGCCTATCTTGTGTTTTAATATTAGACTTTCGGTGGTAGAACAATATCACTCGAGAAGCTGTTTGGTTGACGTCATGACAATAATTTTCTTCAAGTATAAAAAAAAAAAACAAACACAATTTGCCTGCTGCTATAAACAATGTATTTTTAGACAGTGAGTATATGAGGATGCACTAAGGTGCTTTTAAATACCCTGTGCCCTCATCATATTTGCACATCCTTAATTGTACAACCCACATGCCTTTAATTAGTTTAAATGCCCTCCTGGTTCCCAATCTGAATAGTTGCATTTACTAAACAAATCCTCACCTCTCTGCGTGGCCGTGTGATGAGAACCATCTGCTGCTCTCAAATCTTGTTTTCCTCTCGTTTTGTGTTTCCTCTGTTCTCTGTTAATGATGATGAGTTTATAGCAACGTAAAAATAAGTTTAGTGGTTATGTTTGAGCCACACTATGGAGATATTCTGTTCTTGTTATTTTAGTATTTAGATCTTTCAAATTAAAAAAAAAATAATCTTCATCTTTAACATGCTAAAAGTTTTAGTTTAGTTTTTTATTTTTATTTTTTATTTTTACACTGAAGAAATCTTTTTTTCTTTCTTTTTTTTTTTATTTTTTGCTGTTTCTCCTTTATTTCCCTAATTCAATGTAATACCTAAAGCATTAAATTTATTTTTTTATTTTTTATTTTTTGACACTTTCCCCTTGTTGTGTTGTAGGTGGTGAGTCCGACCATCAGTTCCCCGGTTTGCCAGGAGCAGCTGATAGAAGCCGGAAAGCTGGTGGATCGCTCGGTGGAAAGCTGCGTGCAGGCCTGCCTCTCAGCCACGGAAGATGGCGAACTCCTGAAACAGGTCAGCTTGGTTAATTTGTCCATTAACTGTTCTCGCATCAAATTTTTGTTTTTTTTTTTGTTTCAGACAATGATGAGGTGCATGTCCCCAGAATGAATTTGGCCCAGAAAATACACACTAGCGTGAAACAAACGAGCTGACTGATTTGTTTAATAGAATACAGCAGCTGCTTCTCCATTCAGCGTCTTCAGTTTGTGAGCTAAACATCCGGCTTAAGAAGCAGCGAAGATAATGAATCCATTGTGTCTCTCACCAGCCTGTTGGAATAAGAAGTAGCAAATAATAGAGCTCGAGAAGTGCATTAATGATGCACGTCTCTTTTATTGCAGGTGAGCGCAGCGGCCAGCGTGGTGAGTCAGGCTCTGGGAGATCTCCTCCAGCACGTCCGGCAGTACACGTCAAGGGGAGAGCCAATCGGGCGCTACGACCAGGCCACAGACACCATCATGACCGTCACTGAGAGCATCTTCAGCTCCATGGGAGACGCAGGTGAGTCCAAAAGAGGAGGATTTTTCTGTATAGGAAATGCTATAAGGGGCAGAATAGGAGAAAGTGAAAGCTGAGCTCAACTCACTTGTTTATGATTAAGTTATTATGTACAGCACTTATGTTAAGTAACAACATTAATTAATTGCCATTTACCTGGGGATTAATTTTTCATTTGAAAAGCATTTATGGTTTAAGGAAGTAATTAGCACGAAGGACACAAATGACAGCTGCTTTCAGCGAGGGTTTAGCTGGTAGTCGTGCTAACATATTCTACAGACATTCAGTTTCCTCCAGCGCTACACTAAGGCTGATATTTTTGATTTAACCTTTTGAACTCTCTGGACTGTTTTTAGACCAACATGATTCATGAATTTTTTTTAGAGCCCTACACAAATCACTTCACACAACTCGAAGTATGTTTCTTGTGTGTGCTTACAGTCGTCCTCAAATGTATTCATACCCTTCCATTTAAAAAAAAAAGGTAAAATTCACAAAAGTCACTCAAATAAGTCGAAACTGAAAAAAGTAAAAATAAATAAAAATGTGATAAATGATAATTTAGTGAAATAAGACATTGTGGTTGAAAAGAATAATTTAAAAAAATGGAAATAAAAATGGTGCCGGACAAATTAGAGCACTTTGCTGATGAGCAGTGGGTCAAAATCAAAATAGCTGTCAACAGGTGCAGAAGTCTGACTGAGAGTTACAGAAAACACTTGATTGCAGTGATTGGCTCAAAGGGTTGTTCAACAAAATACTAGTTTATGGGGCCCATCATGCTTGTTTGCTTGTTTTTTTATTTTTTTATTTTTTTTTAACTAATATTTCTGTTGAGCCACAATTCAAAAGCAATGTCATAATTTTCTTTTTTTTTATTTTATTTAATTATTACTTTTGTCAGTTTCAGCTTATTTCAGTGACAGCTGGTTTCTTCCTTCTTTAAGAGGAGGGTATGAATAAATTTGAGGATGACTGTATCTGAGTGTGGCAGCGTCCAGTTCAGACTTCCGCCATGTTAAATGTTACCAGGTCCCACCCAGTAAAATTGCTGCTGCAACTTTGCTAACAGATCAGTGACCGGGGTGTTCATTCAGACACGAAGCAATACTTTCAGATACTGTTACATGAACAGAAATGATTAGTTTTGTTGATAACACAGTTGCTGCCTGCAATTAAAGAATGAAAATGACCTTATGTAATTATTAATAGACAGAAAAGCCAAGAACCTAAGCAGAGTTTAGAGACTAACACATAACTTATGTTGTTTCATGTCATGCATCGACTATCCTGTTTTCAGACAATAGTTTGACCTGAATCTGCCTGACACATGCTCCAAAAACCAGCCCCCAGAGTCTCAAAACTCCCTCTCAGAACTGACCTGCATTAAGCAAACACATAAAATATTAATGCGAAACTGGGTGCACATCGAACCATTAAAAACTGGCTCAGCACAGCTCGAAGATTCCCAGTTTCTCTGCAGATGTCTTACTGCGCATCTTTGCTCGCCTCATCCCGTCTTCCTGTCAGAGAGACTGACGTGATGGTGGTTTTGAATGGACTGCTGTCAGGTGTGCTGAAGCCACAGAGGAAAGCCGACAGTGATGTTAACAAGTCTGACAGCAGAGAAAGACCAAAAAGATCGAAAGAGATGCGCAGAGGAGAGGTCAGCTCGCACAAACCGATCGGCCCGATAGTCGAGTAGAATAGCTGTTCGCTGTGCTGAGGCCTAAATAAATGCAGCCAGTCGGAGAATAACGCCTTTGAACAGGTGTCAGATATATCAGGTTATGTCGCACCTGGCATGAAAAAATAAAGTGTGAAGGGAATGAAAAGAGTGAATCCTTCAGTAGTGGAGTGTTGGCAGATCACCTGATGCTTTCAGATGAATTATAGAGGTTTATTGTCAGAGGGCTTTTATGGTGAGCCAGCTCTGCTTTGACACAGAGAATATAGACACCAATTTCTCTCTTATCCTTTTTGTCTCATCTCATTAGTTTGATTCTAAGAATATTATCAAAGGGAATAAGAAACACCAGCACTGGTGGAACATTCCTCTACAGTAGTTCTAAGACCTTCCAGATCTGACTGGGAATAGAGCCGTGTAAGAAATGTAATGTTTGTTCGCTAAAATGAGTTTCAGTCTTTGTTACTTCTCTTGGACATTTGAGCTTCAATCTAATTATTTAATGATTTAGGTTCACAGTTTGATGCTAAAATGCTGTCAATGCACATCTAAAGAAAAATGTTCTTTCAGCGATATGGTAGGCAGCGTACTGTCCAACAGCTCCACTTTTAAAATAAGATATTTGCATATTCATAGATTCAGGCTTTTTCAATGAGTCTTTTTAAGGAGTTCTTACCAGTAATTGAACTTCTTTTTAATAGAAAAACCACATTTGACACAAATTATCATTCAAAGCAGAGCATTTTTATATAACTTCAGACATGTCTGGAGGGCGTCTTTAACTTTCCTTCACTGTTACAAAATTAAATGGTTTCAAATTAAAAATCAATGCTGTCTCGTAGAAATATTTATCTGCTCCCCTAAGGTTTGCCAGCATCCCATCGCTATCGCATTATTATCCCTGACTGTCACACGAGGAAGCAGGCGTGAAGTGGAGTTTGACTGTTATTGCAAACGGTTAAAGAAATGAAGACGGATTTTTATTTTGTCGTCCAAGTTGTTCATTTCAATAAACTCAGGATGAGCTGCCGGCAAAAGTGAATTAAATTCTCCTTGTGTAGTTTTCTTGTGAACAAATAAGTTTACATTCATCGGGAATGCATGTCCGTCTTTAGAAAATACCTGCAAAGCCAATTTTTAAATATTTTAATCCAGTATTCATCACATGCATGTTTGCCATCCTGCAGTATTCTTCTTCTCTGCCTTTGTTGACACATGGCTGCATATGTTAGCATGTCACCGCCACCTGTTGATTAATAGAATAGTGAGACATTGTTGGTGGGACTGCATCATGTTGCTCTTGTACACATGTAAACAAATCAGAGACCTACTCGTAGAACATTACCTGAACGGGGAGAAACAAAATCACTATGTTAACATATTCACTTCCTCATTAGTATGACTGATCCGTTAATGCACCTCTCTGGTTTTTCTCATCTCTCTCCGTCCCCTCACCTCTTTAATCCTCCGTGTCGCCCCTCAGGAGAGATGGTCCGTCAGGCTCGGGTCTTGGCTCAGGCCACCTCAGACCTGGTGAATGCCATGAGGTCCGACGCCGAGGCCGAGGTGGATGTTGACAATTCTAAGAAGTTGCTGGCAGCTGCTAAGTTGCTGGCTGATGCCACCGCAAGGATGGTGGAGGCAGCAAAGGTAAGCAGCATGTGGGACTGGAAGCATATAATACGTATTCTATCTTCTGAGAATGTTACATTTATATCTCAGCTTCTGTCAACAAACAGCTGCTGGATGACTGAGCTGAGCTGAAGGTTTGATTTTAATCACAGTGGTGGCATTTTTTAAGAGCACTAAAGATCTGGAGGGCTGAGTTTTGCTTCTCTGGTACATACAAAGTGACATTTTCAATGACAGCAGAAGGGAAAGACGCAGATCCAGACACCCACACCACTGGTTTGGATGTGCACAAAATAGGAAAAGACCAAGAGTGACACTTTAGGAGGTGATTCTGCTTGGTCGTGTTGATTCTGTGGTAATTCCTCGATGAAAAAGGACGACCTTTAAACCTTTTTCTCCTTTAATCTGAAATGGCTAAAATTCCCAAGTGTGTTTCTTAAAGCAGGTTTATGGTGTAAAAGTAAACACCGGCATAGTCAGCTTTGTTGCTAAACTGCATATTAGAGCATCAAAACGGGAATTAGTGACTTCCTAATTGTATTGGTTTACTGATGTTAAATTAGTGAGCAGTAGGTTTTTTATTATGAGTCATACAGTCGTCCTCAAATGTATTCATACCCTCCCATTAAAGAAGGAAAAAAAACATCTGTCACTGAAATAAGCTGCAATTGACAAAAGTAATAATAAATAAAAATTTAATGAAAATCATGACATTGCTTTTGAATTGTGGTTCAACAGAAATATTAAAAAAACAAAAACAAAAAAACAAGCAAACAAGCATGATGGGACCCGTAAACTAATATTTTGTTGAGCAACCCTTTGAGCCAATGATTGCATTTAAGTGTTTTCTGTAACTCTCAGTCAGACTTCTGCACCTGTTGACAGGTATTCTGGCCCACTGCTCATCAGCAAAGTGCTCTAATTTTTTCAGTTTCTAGTTGTTGAAGTGACTATTGTGAATTTTGCCTTTTCTTTAATAGAAGGGTATGAATACATTTGAGGACGACTGAGTTATTAAAATAGCTGTGATCTATGTTAGAGTCTCGGCTAAAACACCCTGTGTGGTTTCACTGTATCTGATTTATTTACTCTCCATATAACAGCTGCAGAATTTGTCTCTAATACACTTTTCAGAGCTAAACAAGGACCCAGAATAAGCAGCACTTTGTGTGAATAGCTCAGCACATTTTTTTTTCTCTCTCTCTCTCTTTTTTTTTTTTCTGCAACCCTGCCTCCAGTCTGGCTTTAATGCAGCCATGACACTGTTTGGTTGTTTCTATATTGCTACAGATTACTACAGTTGTTGATACTGAAGGCAACTTGGAGCTCCTTAAGCTTCAATCTGTCCTCTCTTTTATCTCAGATGTACGTGAACAAACTTTCAACAAGATGACTAAATAAAAGAAATCCTGCTTTGCTGACACCAGTGTAAACACTGTCCAGTGTGAACGCTGTAGTGGCAAGCTTTAATTAACTGAAACATGACGGCCATGTTTAATGCATTCATTAGTACAAAGGCCTTTCTAATTGTTTTTTTTAAATGGCAATTTACCAATCTGTGCAGTTGTAGACCTTCCCCTTGTAAACATCAATGGTCAGGACTCTATGAAGAATCAATGGTCAAATCAAGTACAGAACTGACTGGACTCATCGTGCACAGCATTTAGTTTGCCATCCATTGCTTCTTGCTTCTCAGCTTTTCAACGCTCTCGGATTACGAGTAAGACCACATCAAACTCTTTCTTCCCAGACTGCCGGAGGGCAGGCTTAGCTTCATCCCATCTTCCTCTATCCAAACTATTTATCTGCTATCGCTCTACATCAGTCTCATTATCAGTCTACAGAATCGCACACTGATATTAATAACTCTCCACTTCCACCATGAAAATTAAATGACGCCCTCCAGCTGGTTAGTCGAGTTTGATGCCAGACTTATCACCGTCACAGCTGTTTATTTATTCGTGTCAATGGTGGCTGAGACCTTAGCCAGCCGTTGCCTTGGTAACAAATTAATTAATTTTATTAGTTCTCTGTATAGTTTTTATAAATCTACTGTATTTTCACTTATTTTTTGAAGCTTGCGTCAGATTTAACATGAAACAGAAACATGTGCATTGTATTAAACAGCTTGCTTTTGAAGACTGGTTTTCCATGATTCATTCTTTCATGCGATACGTTGTCACACCCTGGAAATAAGCACTTTTTAATAATTATGCAAATTGGGTGCTCTGTTTAAATGGTGTCAGCAGCTGCCAACAGCCAGATGACAGCTGCAAACTCCACCGACTTGAAACTAGTTACCAATTTGACTGTGATTAATGTTCTGGTTAGTCAAATGTTGTGCAAATTCTTAAAAGACAAAATGAGTTGTTTTTTTTCTTTGCTTGTTTGTACACGTGATGTGGCTGTTGATGCTGACTTCTGTCAGTAGCAGTGCTGGGGTTGCTTATTACTCTAATGACATGGGCTGTCATGCACACCCTTTCCTCCGTTTAGCTGCAGGTGATGCTTCCAGTTAATTAACTTAATGGCAAAAGGCTTACATTTCTCTTCAGCAGCAGGAGATCGGAAGGTGTCAAGCATCGGTCTCCACAAAAACCAACAGACTTGTGCTACATAAACACAGAAAGATTTTTTAAAAAACTGCTTGTTGATTCGAAAAAACATCATCTCTTGACATTTAGCCGTCAACCAAGAAGTGAAGAGGAAATGCAGCTGAATTCAAGTGCAGTGATTGCAGTGAAGTCTACGTCTTCTTCAAAGATTTCCGTGCACTTATTGAATATTCTAAGATTGTGTGCGTGCAGTGATTACTTTTCCCTACGCTTACACCAGCTCACCTGTCATTTATATGGCTGTTCTCAGGGCGCGGCGGCGTACCCGGAGAACGAGGACCAGCAGCAGAGGCTGAGGGAGGCTGCAGAGGGGCTGCGTGTGGCCACAAACGCTGCTGCTCAGAATGCCATCAAGAAGAAACTGATCAACAAACTGGAGGTCAGCTCAGCAGCACCACATCACACTTTGACCCCAGTGAATAAGTCACATCAGGAAGGTGCTGTGTCGTCCTGAATTTAGCCTCGGAGGAGAATCTAGTATGCACTGAGCATATACTGACAAGAAAACCTGGCATTATCTCCAACCCCAACCCTAAATGTCACCATCTCTACAGTACCGTACATTTGGATACTGTATCTGCAAAGTACAAGTGAAGGCATCACCTGGCACCAAAGCTCGGTGAATATAAGAGGTTGATTTCAGGAGAATGTTTTTTACTGCTAAATGTCAGGGTTCTTAGAGAGATTTAGGTTTGCGGTTACTCTTTTTTTCCCCTGGAAATGGGAAGTGAAATATGATCAAAATGGATCAAAAGGGGCTTATTTGCCTTAAGGTGATTTGACTCACAGCTCAGAACCACTTCAAACAAAAATCGTTCAACTCATTAACAGGGCTCAAGAATTACACCACATTTGTTTACTGTTGGTTGTCCCTTGTCCTTACAGTTTGTTCCAATCCATCTTTGAGTATTTAACATTTTAAGGAATACGCTTTTGTGTTTATAATAAAATGCAATGATATATGCTATTAATTTTCCCTATGCAGCCCATAATTCCAGAGGTAGCTATCATCCTTTGGTTAGGAAGATCAAAAGGAAGCACCGACCCATGTAGGAAAAAGGACACTAGTCATTAGTCTTTTTATGCTGCACATTCAGTTGTTACGAACTAAACATTCACACCCAAAATCGGAGATGTGAGGATAGAGAGTGATACAGAGGCAGACAGATGCTACTCTATAACCATGTTTTACACGTTTGTCCTGATATTCCTCAGAATGCTGCCAAGCAAGCCGCGGCTGCAGCCACGCAGACCATCGCTGCCGCTCAAAACGCCGCCGCCTCGAACAAGAACACAGCTGCTCACCAGCAGCTGGTGCAGAGCTGCAAGGTGAGGATCAGTGCTCGCAGTGGGGCAGCGCTCACTTTCTGATGTTTTTGCTTTTCTTTCTCATCCCTTAATGCATCATTAAAACTGTTTTCCTCACAGTATATTTCTTTCATATCCTTGCTGAGCCCTTATTTATTTGCTGTTTAATGTCATCTAATTTGTTTGCTTGAAGATTCACAGAATGATATAATAGAACGACTTTATACTGACGCTTTTGGTTAATCTGAGAAATTTCCATTTTGGCTTTATTTAAGCTTGTGTTTGTGTTTTGTGTAGGCTGTTGCAGACCACATCCCACAGCTTGTCCAGGGAGTTCGTGGCAGTCAGGCCAAACCAGAGGACCTCAGTGCACAACTCGCTCTCATCATTGCCAGCCAGAACTTCTTACAGGTGCAGCATGTTATAGCTGGATTGTTAAAAGTTTATGCGCCCACAGTCGCACTGAGGAACTTCAGTCCTACATTGGGAACCAGGCTGAAAGTATAAATAGTGTGTCTGTCGTGCGGGGACCCATTAAAAATAGGACTGTAACCTCTTTTTGGTGTAAGCAGGCAGTTAGTGTTTCTTTAAAAGCTCCACCAGTGGTGCTTTAAAAGCTCCACCAGTACCTAATGGTGAAATATCACCACATAACTTTTCTTCTTGTTGTTTCCCAATGCAGCATTTGCTTTTCTTTTTAAGACTGGTCTGTAGCGCTCTAAGGGAAAATATTCTTGACAAGTAATTTCTGTATTTCTTTTTTGCCCGGCAGCCCGGTAGTAAGATGGTGACCTCGGCCAAGTCGTCTGTTCCCACGGTGACAGATCAGGCTGCAGCCATGCAACTGGGTCAGTGTGCCAAGAACCTGGCCACCTGCCTGGCTGAACTGAGGATGTCTGCACAGAAGGTAGAGCACGGATACGCTGGAGAGTTCATGCATGTGGCAGTGTATTCATGAATTCATGCATTTCAGACATGAAGAGTGAATATGAGAAATATACTTAGATATTTTAAAAAAGATAGTGTGCCTCTGTGGACCAGGTATTACATGTTTACTGGCTAAAATCATAGCATGGGCAACCATAGAGCCTACTGTATAATATTTGAAAACAGTAAAAAATAACAGAAAATATATTTCAAATATTTAATGTGCATCATTTTCCTTTCAAATAGCAACAAATATCTGTAAAATGATTGTATTTTTTGTCCATTTAAATTCAAGAAAAACAATAGTTCTATGGTTAGTATTGTAAAAAAAAAAAAAAAAAGGTACAGTACAGATTTATTTTCATTTTAGAAATTGTTATTATTTTATAAGTATTATTTGTGGATATTATTTACAATTGTGGCCTATTTTTATGTTGTTTTTTGTTTATAGTCAACATGTAAAAAATGCATTTTTCTTTTTTTATTATTTGAAATTTTTCTACTGCTTAGTCTTTATATGATGTATTTATTAGTCTTTTTAAATTGCATATTAGACTTCTGAATCATTTGAATGGTGACAATGGTTTAATGCACTTTCCTCAAGCATTTGCATGGTGTTGCAGTTTAGTATTATTAAGGAAACCACCATATTTAAAAAAATAAAAAAATAAAAAATGATATCATGGTAATAACACACATATGATATGATGTAGAAAATCCAACACCACTAACTATTTGGTCGACACTAAACATTGGAGTTCATCTGTGTGCTTTTCCAGTTATGGTTAAAAACTCTCCCTACACTTAGGCATATTTTAAATGTCATTCATTTAAAAAAAATCTTTTCTAAACACATATTGATAGCATTGTTATCGTGAATTACTGCACAATAATTCTGTTGGGAAAATCTGTTATTGTGGCTGCCCCCGTTGTAGCTGTGGGAAATGTGACTAACGGTGAACCTGATTTTCTAGGCTCATGAAGCTTGCGGCCCCATGGAGATCGACTCTGCGCTCACCGCCATCCAGACCCTGAGAAGTGAGCTGCAAGATGCCAAGCTGGCTGCTGTAAACACCCAACTGAAACCGCTACCTGGAGAATCGGTAAGAGGCGTTATAGCCCCATAACAATGACTCAGCCATCCTTCCAACTCAAAATGAAAAATGGCGATTGCATTGAGGTTAATCGAGCTATAGCAAATACATTCAGCGACCGGCAGCTCATGCCTGAAGCTTAAGTAGTATTAAGCTGCTGTTTTTATTTTTTAGTTGGAGAAGTGTGCTCAGGATCTGGGCAGCACCTCGAAGTCGGTGGGATCCTCCATGGCTCAGCTGCTCACCTGCGCTGCACAAGGAAATGAGCACTACACAGGTTGGTGCTGCTGACATGATATGCTAATGACTCATCCATCGCACATCCTGAAAACTGAGACCTTTTACTTTTTAGAACCCTTTCATGTAGTGCCTCCAGATGACCTGCCTTTAAGTTTTCAAATTAGCTCATCTCTTTAGTCCTTCACTGTACAGTTTCTGCTGTGAACGTACACGATCCCGACAGCTTCCACGAGCATTGATGCCTGTTTTTATCTTTGATGTTGCATCCTAATGAGCTAAATGCGCCGTCGCTACTTTTTTGACCTTTCTGAAGTTCAAGCTGCACCATCTGCACGAGCGTCTTTTGCTCAGCAGCGCACACTACACCACATAGAAACGCTTCTTTCTGGTTCTAATTCACGGAAATATATATACAGCAAGTCAGTTATTACTTTGCCCTGACACTGCTTTATAGAGACAGTTGTTTATGCTGCAATAAGAGTCTAAAGAGACTAAACTAAGGCAAATCAGATTGCCTTTAATAGTATTTAGAATACAGCACATTGGTTTCCAGACAACCTGAGGAGAATACTACCCTTGCCTGGGGCCTGTTTTGATTCTCTAAAGTAATCTTTGTTAACTGCCACCCAGTACAGTGTCTATCCGTTTTTTTCTGTTTATTTCGTTGGTGTGTTGTCGACGAGATGTCCCATTTCTCACGAGTCTGTTTTCGCTGGTTGCTGCCTGCGAGGCAAACACCCACATGGCCCCTTTATTTGTGTTGCTGGTTGCAGCACATTTGTCAAGAAAGAGAAATCGCTTTTTATTCATTAAACCAACCTCCTTCAAGTTTTTGTTACTTCAAAATCAACACATGATAGCAACATTTTCTTGTCATTAAGTGTCACGGCTTTATTAATGATCTTCGGTGTTTTCCTATCTGTGGTCGGTTACATCTCTCGTCCCTCTGATCCCGCGTGTAGGAATAGCAGCCAGAGAGACGGCTCAGGCCCTGAAAACTCTGGCCCAGGCGGCCCGCGGCGTCGCTGCCTCCACCACAGACCCTAAGGCTGCAGCTGCCATGCTGGACTCGGCTCGTGACGTTATGGAGGGTTCTGCGCTTCTGATTCACGAGGCTAAGCAGGCGCTGATTTCCCCTGGAGATGCAGAGAGCCAACAGAGGCTGGCACAGGTGAGATATATCAGGATTGCTCGGGGGTCTGTTCCTCAGTACTATGGGCTACTCTTGGAAGGCTCAGTGTAACCCTCATCCACCTGTCAGGCTGTAGCACCTGCCCCATAAAGGTAACACTGTGAAATGTCAAGAAAGAGACAGCTCTGCTGAGTTCTGCTGGTCAGAACAAAATACACTCACAAATTGTGCGTTTATGAAAATTTACAGGCACCGCTTCACTTATAATTGAAGTGTCATTCCTCATCACCTCCACGCTCCTGCAGCCACCCGTCCCCTTGGTTCATTCAGTGTTTAGTCATTTATTCCTTAACTCATACAGACTCTGTATGCATTTCATCAGTGATTTATCACTACTGAAATACATCATGAAAAACACGGTTCTTTCAATTTCACTTGAAACTCGTGGGTCTGTCTGACTTTGGGCAAAACCAGAAAGTTTAATACTGCTAAAATGTGACAGATCTCATTGGATTCGCTGTTGTTTGCATAGAATAACGTGATCCCAGAAGGTGAGTGAGCCAGATCTCTTTATAGGTTGTGGATACTTTTGACCAACAGGGTTTCTTCCTTTTGCTCCATATAGTTTGTTAAATATTTCGCTGAATGTTTAGATGAATGTGTACTTGTGTTTGGTAGTACATTCAAGTAAACACCTGTCTAATTTAGTTTTTGAAACAGACTCGTAAAGCACCTTAATTATTCAAGCTTTGGTGCCTTGCATAAATGATGTGATAGTAATGTAGAGAATATAAAAAGAAAATTACAGAATCACAAATGGGGGCTGTTTTTCCTCATTTAAAAATGTCTCATACAATCCTATTCTGTCTTTTGAAGTTGTCTGAGGATGAAAATTAAGTTGGGAAGCCTGTGCTTCTCTGTTATCTCATTGACTCTTGTTTGTATTTAAGTGCACTACTTCACTAAGGTCTCAGTCCTGTGCTTCTGTTCTGGCCTCTGTTATGTGACAGCAGAGTGCACACAGCCATGTTGGTTGATGTTTATAAAGAAAACAAAAATGAATTATCCTGCACACCTGCCATGCTGATTAAGTTCAGATTTCTAGTTAAGCCTGGTCACCTGCACTCCCCCCTCTAACCCCCGTCTGCTGCATGTTTCAGGTGGCCAAGGCCGTCTCTCATTCCCTGAATAACTGCGTCAACTGTCTGCCCGGCCAGAAGGATGTGGACATGGCTCTCAAGAGCATCGGGGAGGCCAGCAAGAAGCTGCTGATTGAAACTGTGAGTTTATTCTGTGACTCACTGGAGCTGTGCCAACACAACATCAGCATCATGGGTTGCTTTTAGTAAAGAAAGCAACACCCTTGAGCGATATAAGATTAATGACACATACAAGTTGGAACTAGCTGCTAAAAAACCCCAACAAAAAAACCCATTTCTGGCATTATTTCAGTCACTGATTTTCAGTAGTATTGCTTTTTATACATTTTCTCCAGTTGTGAGCAGTTTAAAAAAGTAAACACAGTTCGGATTGAACACACAGTTTCAGTGTTCACACACTTTGCTCACACACTCAACCAGGCTCAGATGCAACAGTTTTGAATTGTTTCATCACCATTTAAGTTAATTACAAAAACTTTATGCATAGTAAATACTTTATTCACATATTGTTACCGTTACATATAAAAGTTGTCATTTAATTATTTTTCAGTAGAGTTAAATCTCCATCTTTCATCGTTAACTTCTCCCTTGATTGCTTCTTTCAGATCCCTCCGGCCTCCAAGTCGTTCCAGGAGGCCCAGAGTGAGCTGAACCAAACAGCGGCAGACCTGAACCAGTCGGCAGGCGAGGTGGTCCACGCCTCCAGGGGCTCCAGCAGCCAGCTGGCTGTGGCCTCTGGGAAGTTCAGCCAAGACTTTGATGAGTTCCTGGATGCTGGCATAGAGATGGCTGGGCACACTCAGGTTGGTCTTCTTGTATATCAGGTCTCTAATAGCCTCACTCATTCATTTGAGACAGCAGGAGCACAAATTACCACTCAGAGCTTCATTTTTAGGCATATTTTCACAAGCTGATGAGTTTTTGATGATGTTTTGATGATATGCCTTTTCAGAAAAAGGATGATCAGGTGCAGGTGATTGGTAACCTGAAGAACATCTCTATGGCTTCAAGCAAACTGCTGCTGGCTGCTAAGAGTCTGTCTGTGGACCCAGCTGCGGCAAATGCCAAGAACCTGCTAGCTGCTGCCGCGAGGTACTGCAGCTATGCACACCTACACATTTGACTGGAACCCTCCCATCTCAGGGACAGCAGTTACAGCTGGTCTCAACAACCTTTTATGACAGGTCTGGTTAGTTTACAGATGAGGCTGGCAGCAAAAAATTAGCTGCTCCTCAAAAGCAAAACCGAATTATTCCAGTTCGCAGATAAACACAAGTTCCAACTGTGCTTTACTGACACCGAGAATTATGATATTTTAATGCTGTGAGGCTGAAACCATTCCAGCTGTTGTTTTCAAACCACCAATTCACTCATTTAACAATCAGCATATTGAACCGTAGTAAAAAAATATCCATAAAGGCGATTCTGTTTTGCTACATTCTTCACGTTATCAGTGAAATGCATTCAGACATCTGCTCAAAAGGAAAGTCAAAACATTTACACGGTTTAATGTCCTGATGGCCAACCTCACTTGCAATTAGAAAATAAGAGCAAACGTGGTTGAGATGAAATATTTTTGTTTGTTGATGAATCGCATAAGCTGGCACACTCAAACACACACAGAGGCAAGGATGCATCTACAGGCCTTTGTTGTTACAGCACAATAGGCCTCCAGTACATGTGCTCACATGTCAAAGCCAGCATGCCCAGAAACACTTATTACCCTGCACCTTCAAAGACTAGAGTGTGATTTTTTTTCCCCCTGCTCCTTTCCTTTGTTTCAGAGCTGTGACTGACAGCATCAACCAGCTGATCACGCTGTGTACACAGCAGGCTCCTGGCCAGAAGGAGTGTGATAACGCCCTGAGAGAGTTGGAGGTAAACAACACTTGACCACCTGGTGATGAACCAGGAGCAGTCAACAATCATATCAACCAGAGCTTGACAGGAGTTTTGATCTTGGCTTGCTCTGTTGTAGACAAAGAAATAATACTCGTTCTTTTAGCTGGTACTAACCAAAGAGAATTTTGTGAAAGTAATTAACCTTCAGAACCTCTTATAAAACGCCCACCGCCCGCCCATGTCTTAGGCTGTCAGAGGAATGCTGGACAATCCCAATGAACCAGTCAGTGACCTCTCCTACTTCGACTGCATCGAGAGCGTGATGGAGAACTCCAAGGTGAGCCTTTGAATCAAACAGTGCACATTGCACACACACACTCAGCGCAGCATCCAAAGCATTCCTCCTCTTCTGCTCTTTGTCGCACTGATGCTCTGTTCAGGTCCTCGGAGAGTCCATGGCAGGTATTTCTCAGAACTGCAAGACCGGAGATGTGCCCGCATTTGGAGACTGCGTGGGCTCAGCCTCCAAAGCCCTGTGTGGCCTCACTGAAGCTGCAGGACAGGTACAGCGTGTAGAGAAGCTCATCTCTGCAGCACAGGAGCTATCAAATGTGTTGCCTTTTTATTAGTAGGGGTGGAACTGGTGAATCCTGTTGACAGGTGTTACTTTTCCACAGGCCTCCTACCTGGTGGGTGTATCTGATCCCAACAGTCAAGCAGGACACCAGGGGTTGGTGGATCCCATCCAGTTCGCCAAAGCCAACCAGGCAATCCAGATGGCCTGTCAGAATCTTGTTGACCCCGAGAGCAGCCCCTCCCAGGTACATGCATGTACAATCATTTCTGATTATGCAGTACATCTCCCAAAAGAACTGTATGCCAAGTGTGTATCATAACAGGATAATGTACAGCGTGATCACAGAACATTGTTTGTATGCTGCTCTGCAAAGCTGTGCTGCAATACAATTTAGCATCAGGTCAGTGTTTTGAATGGGTGAAGGTTAGACCGTAGAATGATGTAAGCTGATGCAGTTGTTGCTTGTTTTATTGCTGTTTTCCTGTTTGCTCCATTTCAGGGTTTCTGTTGCACTTGTGCTGTACATAGATATTTCTGACCTCTTGTTCTCTGAGTTCTCTTACTACTGACTCTCATGTTGATTAAGACATGTCTGTGGATATTATACACAATATAATATATATCACTAACCGCTCGACACCTTAATAATCTAAAACTCCTCTGGATTTCTACAAAACTGATTGTTAAATTAAACAAAGTTATTATTCAGCTCCCAAAATTGCAAAATGGTCTGTGCAAACACCCGACGTAACAGCAACCAACTGTTTTGTAGCAAGACACCCTCACTACTGATCTAAAAGTCTAATATTAATATTTACCTCATTATCACCTTTATTTTTCTCAGCAACATGCGGTGTTAACGTCGAACAGCTTTGTGCCTAATTATATGCCTCCCTAAGGAGTCTTGCAGGAATCAGCTCCCAACTTTTATGGGTTTAGAGGAAGATCTTTTCTGATACAATAGCAAATACATTATACAATAGCGCATAGAAATATCAGTGGCACAAATGTGTACCACATGGAGGCAAATGCAGTCAGCATAAATAATGTTTTGATTTCCGGACGCCGGACCTTGCCTGCTAGATGCAATCCTCTGTTCTCTTTCCTCACTTTTTGTTTCATTTGTTTCATGTCATTATGTTTTTGATTTATAGAAATATAAAGGCAGAACTAAGGTAGTGAGCATTAGGTTACTGCACTGTAAATTACAAATCTATTATTTTTTTTAGATAAAAATCTCCATTGCTAATTTATCCTTTTGTTGTTTATAATGTGGCAGGTGCTCTCAGCAGCCACCATTGTTGCTAAGCACACCTCGGCATTGTGCAACGCCTGCCGTCTGGCTTCCTCTAAGACAACCAACCCGGTTGCCAAGAGACACTTTGTCCAGTCTGCCAAGGAGGTGGCCAACAGCACCGCCAACTTGGTCAAAACCATCAAGGTAGGATTTCAGTCCTGTACTACGGTCAGCTCTGTCCTGGCGTAGCACACACCTGGCATACCACAGTACACGTCTGATTTTTGTCTGAATCTGTGACTGATGTGGGCTAGTTTTGAGAAATCCTCTGTTTGGTCAATTCTGATACATTTTGACTCACATCAGTTTATATTTGTTCTCAAAAGTAATTTCTGTCAAATGTCTGTCAGTGATTTGTTTAATTCTTGACTCTTGGGTTCGATAACCTAATAGGCAATCAAGTTTAATCCCATTTGTTTCATGCACCTTGATGTTCTGCCTCTCTCACTTTCTAGGCTTTAGACGGTGATTTCTCAGAGGAGAACAGGAACAGGTGTCGAGTCGCCACAGCGCCGCTAATCGAAGCTGTGGAAAACCTGACAACGTTTGCTTCCAACCCAGAGTTTGCCAGCGTCCCAGCTCAAATCAGCAATGAGGTTGGGCTCTGTGAAATTTATTGCCGTGTTGTTTGTCTTACTGAAGCATTACAGGAAATTGTTGCATCATATTGTAATAAATACGTGTATGTCTGCGTTGTGACTGTTTGTTTTTCTGTAGGGCTCTGCAGCACAGGAGCCCATCCTGCACTCAGCACGCTCTATGCTGGACAGCTCAACTCACCTGCTCAAAACTGCACGCTCATTGGTTATCAACCCCAAAGACCCGCCCACGTGGTCGGTTCTGGCTGGTCACTCTCGCACTGTCTCCGACTCCATCAAGAGCCTCATCACAGCCATCCGGTTAGTGAACGAGCTTTTATTCAGATGTTGCACACTAGATGCAAAGTAAACAGAAAATCTAACAAAGTACGGTATATATGAGAGCTGCACTTTAAAGAGGAGTTTGGAGAATGTGCACGTTCGCTTTCTCACTGAGAGTCAGATGAAGTTAGCACCAGCTGCTGCTTAAAGGTTGAAAGCAGGGAAACAAATGGCCTGGTTCTTTTTTTTTCAGCTGAGATTAATAAAAACATGACATTGTGATTTTACAGAGGGTTGTGTAACTATTTCTCTCTGGAGTCTTGTTGTTGCAGTGCGGTTGCCAGGCAACCAGAGGAGACTCCAGAAAGTTACCAATTTTTAATCCTTTATCTCAGTTTTTTTTTTTCCCAACTGTGCTTCTTCTCTATATAGTCGTAGGGATTAAGGGAGGTAAAAATGTACAACTAAGGTTCTGAACTTCAGAATTAAGTTTTGGCTGTAATACAGTGTTCCCTGTTTTATCTGTGCACACTGCTCTATGAAACACCTGGAGAAAGGATGCCAGAATCCTGTACCCTGGGGTGGCACATACTTGTTCTTATACCTGTGCAGCTTACATTTATAATCTTCTCTTTTCTACTTGACCTTGATCAGAACAAAACTGATGCCCATGAGGGGCTAATTCTCTGTGTCAAATGCACTGAATGTTAAGGCTCCTGCTCGTCTCTGAACATCTGCACATTAGCATTCACGCGCAGCCAGCTTAGCATCTCTTTCAATTCTGTTGCCCTTATCACAGTCTTCCTTTTAGACATGACTTCACCGAGGCGTTTTAAATTCAGTTCCGGGAGTTTGGCCCGGGCTTTTAATAGAATTCTGTGATATACTGCGATGCGAAAGAATACAAATAGAGGTGGACTCCGTCCTGCAAAAGCTGACCTCATAACTTTGTTGGACTCATTACACACAAAGACGAGGTTGGATTTTAGTTTTACTTTCAGTGTGCTGCCATGCATGGAAATGGATGTTTAGCTAACTTATTCTGCCCATGAGACCGGAGCCCCAGACAACTCGGAGGCTTCAAAGCTAATTTGACTGCCCAGCTGGATCTCCCTGCGCTGTGACCAAACCCTACAGGCCACATTTCAGTAGATGTGGCCTCAGCAGCAATGAGACGAGTGAATCTGGTAGAAAAGATGTGAAAAAGACAGCCTGGAACCTGTCTGTGTTTTAAGAACTTTCAGTAATGTTAACATTTGTTCTTTTTTTCTCTCTCTTCCTGTGTGTAACGCTTCCTTTCCTCATTGCTCATTTTTGTCTCTAACCATTTTTATTGCTTTCTGTTTCTTTTCCTGCCCTTGTTTTATTCCCAGGGACAAGGCTCCAGGCCAGCGGGAGTGCGACTCGTCAATTGATAACATCAACAAATGTATCCGGGACATAGAGCAGGCTTCTCTGGCAGCCGTCAGCCAGAACTTACCTAGCAGGGACGACATCTCGCTGGAGGTAAGCAAGAAGACAGCTCCACACCTTCCGCAGACAGCTGCTGCTATCTTTCTCTGTTTGCATTTGTTTGTTCTTTTTCTGGCCGCTTTTCTGTTTTGCCTCACCTTTTCCTTCTCGTCCGCTGCCAGTTTTGCAGTCAGTTGTTGTTGTCTTTTAGTCTGTGGCATGTTCTGTGAATTAGATTTTGTCCTTTCGAGGCAGAGAGACAACTCATTCAACAGAAAATAGGGATTTAACTAAATAAAAAAAACTTTCTGCATTGCAAAGCAGTATTTTAGATGGTTACTTCTAGTTACTTACAGTTTGAATCCAGCTGGATCTTCATGCCCTTAAAGCTGCTATATTGTAACGCAGAAGTGGTTTAGTGGTTTACTGTTCTGTGAAAAGTTTAAACTCACTTATTAGAAGCTCCGGTAGCTCAGGGCAAGTACCTTTCTGTTCACTTTCCTAGTTGGTGCTTTTTAGCAGGTCCCGGCTGACTTATTTGAATGCACCTCTGTCTCCCATAAAAAGCAACACAAAAACTAATTTCTTTTTATTTCCTCTCTTCAGGCGCTACAAGAGCAGCTGACGTCCACCGTGCAGGAAATTGGCCACTTAATTGACCCCGTTTCCACTGCTGCCAGGGGCGAAGCTTCCCAACTAGGACACAAGGTATATAGGGCAGGGAGTTAATTACTATTATACTGTAACTGTGGAGCAACAAAGTGATACTTTTTTAGCAGCAGTTTTCAGTGACTCAGTACTGAACATTACTCGATGTTCGGTGTGGGCGATATGAACAGAACTGATACGATTTCAGCATTGCACATTAGTATTTAAGAAAAGTTTAGTTTTCAAGTTGCAGACACATTTTCTCTTTTCACATTTATGGAATCCACCAATCACTATTGTTTCCAGCCTTTCTTCATGTGTAGTAAATACGATTTATTAAAGAATGATTAAATTCTCTCTCTGATCTTTAATTAACCCTCTAAAAACTCATCTCTGTGTGTCCAAATTACATACTTAGAAGTTTTGGGGGGGTTTTTTGCCATAAAATTAATCCCTTCCCGCCTTAACGTGGCTTCAAAGTAACTGTACATGAATGTTCAGATATGAATTCATTTTTAAGTAATTCAGTTGAACATTCGAACTGGGGCTGCAAGGTGGATTGGTGGTTAGCACCGTTGCCTCGCAGCTAGAAGGTTACCGGTTTGTGTCCCAGTGAGACACCCGGGATCTCTCTGTGTGGACTTTGCATGTTCTCCCCGTGCAGCGAGGGTTCTCTCCGGGTTCTCCGGCTTCCTCCCACACAGTCCAAAAACAGGTTGAGGTTAATTGGTGATTCTAAATTGTCCGTAGGTGTGAATGTGAGTGTGCTTGATTGTCTGTCTCTAAGTGTAGCCCTGTGATAGACTGGTGACCTGTCCAGGGTGTCCCCTGCCTTCACCCTGAGTCACCTGGGATAGACTCCAGCCTCTCCCTGACCCTAGTGAGGTTTAAGCGGTGTATAGATAATGGATGGAACTGGAAACCAATTCTAAAGAAGATACAGATATCCCCACCCTGCAGGTTAACGGGATCGGTTTGTTAGGTTTGTTATGCATGCTGTCTGAATCGCTCAGCCATGGCGTTGACTGCTTATTTTACTCATGATATGTCTTTTAGCAGGTGTGAATGTGAGTGTGCTTGGTTGTCTGTTTCTCAGTGTGGCCCTGCGATGGACTGGTGACCTGTCCAGGGTGTCTCCTGCCTTCGCCCTAAGTTGGCTGGGATAGGCTCCAGCCCCCCCACGACCCTAGTGAAGATTAAGCGGTGTATAGATATTGGATGGATGGATGGATGTCTTTTAGCATAGAAAAACCTACTATATAAACATGCAAACAAGATACAAACTTGATTTTGTCAGGACCAAATCAGGAAACTGTAAACAAGCCCTTCCCTGCTGTTCTATCTGCAGATAGCACACTTGAATCTACTTAACATTTTGAATAAGTGAAATAACCAAAAGATTAAACACATATTTGATTAAAGCCACACAATTTTATAATAATGGGTAATGATGTGTATTAATTTACTCTTAACTGTGCTTCCTGGTGTTAATGTGGCATGATGCAGCACTATCTATGCTAAAGCGCTGTATTTCTGTGCTCTTCTTCAGAGATCTCATTAAAACCTGTCACTCTTTGCCTCAGGTGACCCAACTGGCTCGTTACTTTGAGCCGCTGATCAAGGCCTCTGTGGGCGTGGCATCCAAGCTCAATGACCACCAGCAGCAGATGACTTTCCTGGACCAAACCAAGACTCTGGCTGAGTCTGCCCTGCAGATGCTCTACGCTGCCAAGGAGGGTGGAGGAAACCCAAAGGCAAGACCATTTCATGCTCCATTTTACGCTTTGTGCACTTTGCTTAAACCGGCGCTTCCCTGCTGCTCCACACCTGCACAGATGATGTGTTTCAGTGCCTCAGCGAGGATCATTAACCGCGTTCGTGCTGGGTCATTCTTATGTGCGTTCGCTTGTCATTATGGCAAATGTTTCACGTGTGCTTATGTTGTGTCACGCTCCACAGGCGTCGCATACCCACGATGCCATAGCAGAGGCGGCTCAGCTCATGAAGGAGGCGGTTGATGACATCATGGTGACGCTGAATGAGGCCGCCAGCGAGGTGGGGATGGTGGGAGGAATGGTGGAGTCCATTGCAGAGGCCATGGCCAAGGTGGGTGCTGCTAGGTCTTATAGTTTAATGGTTATGATCTGAAAGTGCAACGTTTTATCTACACACTTTACTCCTCTGCTTAGACGGTTACTGGTTAAATTCATTCTCACTCTCTTGGTCTTAAAGCAGATTTATTGCTGCTGCTGCTGGACTCTTTATTGTTTGGATTATATCTTAACATCAGCAGTAGTTATGCACAATTGTTATGAGATCCTTTCTTCAGCTCCATTCTTTATTTTTTCTTCAGGGGACCTCAGGTGTTTACATGACAGGCAGGATAATAAAAATTCCTCCTTTAGGGTTTCTTCCCAGGTGGGCACCCTGGGAAGCTTTCACAGGGGAGTTTCAGGGGGGCGTTCTGACAACATGTCCTAGCTACAGCTGGTGAGCATTCCGCTGAAGGTTGTTCAGGACAGGTGCCACATCCAGATGTGCCCAATTTACTCTTTGGCTTATTTGATCTTTCCTTCACAACCATCTGACCCACTTCAACAGCAGCTGGTTGTAGGTCGACGCTTCTAATCTGTCCTCATTTCACGACAATATGGTGGCAAAATCTGATAATACGATCATCTGAGTTTATCCTAAAGTGATCAAGACCCCCTGCGCAGTTATCCTCACGCTCTCAGATGAGCTCAACCGCAGCATACGACGATCAGCCACAACATTAAAACCACTGACAGGTGATGCGTACGACTGTGATTCAATTTAAACATTGCATACCAAACACACTGTCCCATAGTAACTCGCCAGTGCCAGTGGCCTCCCCCAGCAGGACAGCGCACCCTGCCACACAGTAAAAACGCATTCACACGACCTCTGAATCTCAAGATCCCAGTCTGATCAAGCACCAGACGCAAAAGTCCAATTCATGGAGGCCCAACCTCTCAACTCTTTGGGCTCAGAGGATCCACTGACACTGTGCTAGTGCAAGAACCTTGTGTGAAAGGAACCTACACAGTATTAGGCACATGTTTTAACCCTCCTATTACCTTCAAATTTACTGACATCTTGTATCCTTGGGTTCAATTTGACCCCAGCAATTTAAACCTCCAGAAAATATCAGAATTACAAATTGTTACTCAAGTTTATGTGTAAATAGCCCTTTAAATAAAACTGAAAAAGTTATTTCAGTGAGTTATTTAGAGATGTTAAACATTGAATGGGATCAAATTGACCGCAACAATAACAGGAGGATTAACGTTGTGGCTATTATGATAAATAATATAATAAATAAACTAGAATGTAGCAACAAAAAAACCCCCAAAAGCAAGTGTGATAGACTAAAAGTTGAAAGTGAAACAGGTGAACTGGCAAGGAAGCAGCTCCTCTTCATCTTTTTCCTGGGTGCTCTAGGGTTCACAGATGCAACCATCATTTTCTAATTAAGATTTCCTCCCTTTTTTTTTCTCCTTTTTGCCCCATGTTTCCCACTCACCGTGCATGACATCTTGATTCCGAGCGTAGTGTTTTCTCAGCGCCATAAAAAGTCACCGATTACCATACTAATACAAATCACAAACAGAGGTAAATTGACCGTCAACGTGGCCATTCTTTGTAGGCGCCAGGCAATTTGGACTATCTTTCCAATTAACAGTCAAACTTATTGGCAAACACGTAAAGGTGCGAGGCAGGAAAAAAGCCTTTTATCTCCGGCACCGACGGAGAATAGCATCAGCTAATTATATCACTCCTCACCCTCCTGAGTGGGAAGTCTTGCAAAGGTGAAAAAGCGCCTCAGATGTGTGGATCGCTGGAGGGAACGGCGTCTGTGCATCAACTTTGTGGCGCGTCATGAATAGCTAATGTAAAATGGTTCAATTTTGGGCCTACATGTTGAGCATGCAGGTGTGTGTTTTGTCTGTGCCACTCAGTTTACTTGATTAAATGGGGATAATCCTCTCAGATAATCCATCGACATAATGGTCATTCTCCATTCTGGTTTAGGCAGAGGTGATTTAAAAGGCTTTTCTGGGGAACTTAAGAGTCATTTAGTCCAGACCACAGATTCTAAGGTGTTATTTCTGTGAGAGGGAGGAGCGAACAATATGTACTAGGGAGTCATTTCAGTACCAGCGTACTTTTCTCACATGGCTTCCCCTCTCTCATCTCCTCTGCCTTCCCATGACACTCACATGTGCTGAACACTGTCTAATTTAGCAGAAGCACAATGTTTGCACTGCAAGCTGGTGATCAAATGTTTTCAGAGTTGATGCCATTTTAAAGCTGTAATTACAGAGTGGATTCAGCGGATAATTTATAATGAGTGCTTATCATTCATACGGAGTGTTTATCAGAATATAAAATTACATTAATGTTGGTTTGCAGATGAACCGATGCCTGTGCACCTGGCAGAACGAGTGTGATTGAAGAGCTGATTAGATTTAACATGTCATTCCAACTAAAGAGGCGAATGATTGATTGTCTTCACGTTTGAAGAAGTTTGCACGGATTGTTAAGGAACAAACAAATCACACCTGAAATGAAAAAAGTAGTTTTAACTGTGTGTGTGTCTGTCCTTAGCTGGATGAAGGGACGCCACCGGAACCTGAGGGCTCTTTTGTGGATTACCAGACCAGCATGGTGAAATACTCTAAAGCAATCGCCGTCACTGCTCAGGAAATGGTGAGTTTTTCAAATCATTCTGAATGTTGTTAGATTGTTGTAGAAATGCCACTGTGACTTGTGATTATGTTCTCACTGGTTAGTTGGAGAATATTTTCCTGATTTTCTTTCAGAATTATATATAAATCAGAGTAACTTCAAACAGTTTATTTTATCTAGTAGGTTAAGTCAAAGTGAAAATGTGTTTGTAACCTGTTGATTTATTAAAACAAGATTGTTTCTCATGCTGACATGATTTCATCACAGCATTGCAAATAAAAGAATCAGCTTTTAGTAATAAACAAATTTAAAACACAACCTAGTCTAGCTTAAAATATCTCCTGTTAATACACTTATTGTGTTTATAAGGAAACGCATTTACTGGTTTTGTAATGAAACGTCTTCCTTAGCAACCATTGGTCAGATGTTGTGTACCTGGCTGTAGGTGTTTGCAGCTGGACTCCAACAACTGCAGTGTGGTTACGAGACAGACGGCCAGATTGTGACGTTATGGTCCAGTCAGACTCTGTCTTACAACCCAGGAACTACGCATCATATTATTGCCATTAAAACATTTTAATTTTTTGAAAATTAATGGACAGTTTTTTTTTTTTCAGTGATGCACGATTTTAAAATTTCTGGCCGATACCGATATCCAACATTAAGATTTCTGATATCGCCGATAACTGATATTACCGATGTGGATATTCAGTTTTTGTTCACACCGAAAAATGAGTATAAATAAGCACTGTGAGAACGTGAAGACTATTCAAAAGAACCCATACCAAATTAGACCACACAGTCTTCTTTATTATGTAACAAAAGTAAAACCAATTTTAACCCATTTCACGTTCAAGTCCAGGACCATTTAAGCAAAAACATCTGTGAAATATCAGCAATATCAAATGTAGAGACAAGGCGCTGATGTTAGACAGTCGTTGGTTTTTCTCATCTGCTAAATTTATTCATCGGACCGATACCGATATATCGGAAAAAACACTAATATCGGCCGATACTGATGTGAAATAATTGCATACAATGTCCACTCCACGTACAGACCCGAATATTACTGAGCACAATTTTTAAATATACAGAACACATTTACAGCATTAATGCATATCTACGTGTAAAATATATTCCTGTCTCATTCTGTCTTGCATGATGAGCTTATTTGTAGAAGCCTGTAAACTATCAAAGTGATGACTGTTTCTCTGCCTTTTTAGTGTAAGCTGGTTAGCTCAGTGGGTTAGAACACACTGTTAGAAATGTCAGGATCAGAGGTGTCAACCCCCACTCAGGTAATGGTTGTGTTGTTGCTCCTCTTTGCTAGAATTTTTTATTTTTTCCATTTTCACAAGAAAAATACATAAAAAATTTCTGACAAACAAGTTCCACCTTTCTGGAACTCCCATGTCCAGCGGATGTCCACGCAACGCCTTGGATGTTGGCACAAGTTTAATTTCAAAACTTTCAAACCAGTATGCTGAAACAACGGTGATTAAATTCTACAAATGTTTGCTGATTTATTATATCGGCAGGGTTTCTGTGTATCAGTGTTTCATACCCCAGGCTACTCTTTGAAGCTGACACCAAAAAAATTAGAATTAGATAATATATGTTGTCATCAAAAATGCTCTATAGTTTGCAAACAATGAGTGAAATGAAGCAAACCTGGCCGATATGTAATATGTGTTTATCCAACAGATGACTAAATCGGTGACGTGTCCAGATGAGCTGGGAGCTCTGGCCTCTCAGGTGACCGTGGACTACAGCCAGCTGGCCGTTCAGGGACGACTGGCCGCTCACACAGCTGAGCCAGAGGAGGTGGGGAGGACACCCAAAGATAGATGGTCTTTGCACTTCCACAGCTCTGCTACATCAGTGTGGCAGTTTATTTTAAATCTATAGCTGAGAGTAACACTTGTATGGATGTAAACATTTGTGCATGAACAAATTGATTCATAAACTGCAATTCAATAATCACATTTATTCCTGTGTTCTGTTTATGCAGATTGGTTTCCAGATCAAGACCAGAGTGCAGGAGCTCGGTCATGGCTGCATCTTCCTGGTCCAGAAGGCCGGAGCTCTGCAGATCACTCCGTCCGACAGCTTCACCAAGCGAGAGCTCATTGACTGCGCCCGGGCAGTCACAGAAAAGGTATTGTTTTGTCATGAAAAGATCTGGATTAGAATTTTGTTGACTTTAATTCATGTTTAACCTCACTGTGCTTCTTTTTGTTTACAATATTTGTCTGAAGGATTATTTTGTCCCCTGCTTACCCGTTCCACTTCTGAAGCTAAACTTGTTATCTAAGTTGCCCCGTACATTAACCCAAGACTTTCTGCCAACATTAATTATTGTTGTTATTTGTTTGCTTACCTAATCTCCGGGAGGTTTTTTTTCTGCTCAGCCTGATATGATCTGCACCAAGATAACTGTGTTTAGTGTTGTTCTTCGCTGGAAAAGTGACGCATTGCTTCGTTGCTGTTCAGTTCACACTAAGTGATTCTGCTCTTCTGGGTTCGTACTGAAAGATTGTATCTGGCTGTGGTCTAATTGGGGGAATCCAGAGCATTTTGTAGTGTAGATACTACTCTAGAGTTATTCTTTTACTATGACGAGAATTAAAAAACATTGTTTGTCTGTGTAGCGTGACATGCTGGTTGAGTTTTGAGATCCTAACCTTTTCCTATCTCTTCCACAGCTGTCGTTTCTAAGAATAATATCCATTTGTGTCCCGGCCTTTTTTTGTGTGTTAGAGACTAGAAATATCAGTTAATTAATTTCTGCTGTCACTCCAGCATCTGTGAGGAAAGCAAATGGTGGAAATCGTTCTGACACGTACTCATTTCGCCGAGTGATTGATGATGTGCGTGGCTTTGTGCCGACACGATATTTTGTCGTCACAGCAAATTTTTAAATACTCTTTGGACTGTGGCTTTTTTTTTTTGCCCCCGTCTTCATCACTTCACAAAATGACCAAAACATTACTTTACTTTTCATTTCTGAACTTGTATGTGCTATTTAATATCCACACAAGTAATAAAATTCACCAATCCAATTGCTTTGCAGGCAGCATAGGTATGAAAAAAAAAATCCATTCTCGTGTCTCATGTCGGGCTCCCTGCACATCCTCACCTGTGTAATTATAGGGTGTGATGTCTGTCTGTGTCCCCAGGTGTCCTTGGTGCTCTCAGCCCTCCAGGCAGGTAACAAGGGCACTCAGGCTTGCATCACAGCAGCCAGCGCAGTATCCGGCATCATCGCCGATCTGGACACCACCATCATGTTCGCCTCTGCCGGCACACTCAACACAGAGAACGACGAGTCCTTCGCTGACCACAGGTTCGGGCATGAAATTTATCCGAATGTGTTTGTGTATAAATACAACTGTGCGTGACATTGTGGCGTCTACAAGCCCAACACCTGACTGGAGTCTAGAACCCGCCCTATGGTTATCTTTCATCTCAGACTGACAGAATGAATTATTAGCTGTTGAACGGGGAGGAAATGTCTGGCGGTGGAAGCTGCAAATTACCCCGAGGGTTTGAGCGATGTAGGAAGTGTCACATCTCTTACTTTTCTTGCTGTTTCACTCAAGACTCTGAAGCAGCGTTTGTTTTGTAAAAGAAGAAAACAGGAAACGATTTAGAGGCTAGACTTCATTCTGGTTATATTCTACGACATGCCACGTTGTTTGACTTGTGTTAAACTGGGTTGTGCTTGTTATTTCTGAATGAGAACAGTTCAAAGAGACGCAGATCTAATAATCCAAGACAAGACTAGTCACTTTACATGTCACCTTGACCAGAACTGATCAACTTAGATCCTTACAGATAGTCGATATTAAAACTGCATTGCACCCCACTGGAGAATCATAAAAGCAGAAATGTAGAGGATCAGTGTCAGGGCGGAGTGAAAGAGAACAGACTCACTTCATCTTACATTATGTCACGCAGCTCCCTTAGAAATCAAGAAGGAACTTTGCAGCAGCTTCCTATCAATTTCCCTTGTCAATCTTAGAAAAACAGCTGACTTGACATGTTCCATAACCTCACCTGTCCTCCTCGTGCTTACGCGAGCTTTGATGAAGAAAAGCCTTTGATATGAAAAAACGATGCACGCCAGAATGCATCAGTTCTGTTCACTGTAATTCAAACACATTTACATTTTATTTCTGCTGGAGTGAGGCGTAGATCATTGAGAGGATGTCCTAAACTTCTGTCTGGAATTATATTCAAAGGTCAGCTCGTTAATTGAATTTTGCCAAATCTTCTTATGTCCTTGTACTCTTTTTATTTCTTTTCTTCATTTTCTGCTTCCTTCTTTTCTCTTTCAGGGAAAACATTTTGAAGACGGCCAAGGCTCTGGTCGAGGACACAAAGATGCTGGTGTCCGGCGCAGCTTCCGGTCAGGACAGGTTGGCTCAGGCCGCTCAGTCTTCTGCCAAAACCATCACCCAGCTCACGGATGTGGTCAAACTGGGAGCCGCCAGCATCGGCTCTGATGATCCTGAGACGCAGGTCAGCCGGCCTCGTGTTTGATTTCTCTCCACCCTCGTCCTTTATTCAGAACGCCTGTTATCGGGAGGAATTATGGAAGAATGAGCTGTGAATGGCAAATAACCTTTTCTCTCTCCCAGGCTGCATGGTGATTAGTTGGTGTCTGTCTGTCCTTTTCTCTAGGTGGTTCTGATAAATGCTGTCAAAGATGTGGCCAAGGCGCTGGCCGAGCTCATTAGTGCCACCAAGTGTGCCGCTGGCAAGTCAGCAGATGATCCGTCCATGTACCAACTGAAGAGCGCTGCCAAGGTGAGAAGATCACTCTGAGAGAGTTCAAACCATGTCATCTAATTTAAAGGCCCCCAGTGGGACTGAATACAATTAAATATGGATTCTGTGTCTTTTTCAGCTCAACAAAAAGAGTATTTTTAGACTTTTAAGAAATCAAATCAGTTGCAGTGTTCGTCGAGCTGCATGCGTGCATAGCAGTCGTTCTCCTCTTCCTCAGGCTGCGCTGTTAATCAGCTGCAACATCCCCGCTGCCATCGCGAAACCTTGTTCACAACAGTTAATCTGCACACTGTGTCTCCGTAATGTAAATGTCCGGGATGTTCGGTATAACAGGAAACTGGGGATATTTCTAACCAAGATAAATCAGCTTGAATCCTTTGCTCCGACACATATGCAGTGTAAAATTTCAAAGCTGCGGTTCAGAATTCACTGATAACACTGCTGATGGCTCATTATCACCTCGAGCTGAGAAGTTTGCGAAGAAAAAAAACAAAAAAAAACTTGTCGGTTCACAGTCAGCAACGGCAAAGAGTGTCGTGAAGTCTTTGAGATGATTAAAACATGCCTCACATGCAGTTTTAAGACCTGAGGTGGTGGAGAGAGAAAAAAAATCTGGTGAACCATTTGTAAGGTTTTAGCTTCATGTCTTTGAAGGCAGCAGGCTTTTCTCAGTGGGTGCTGTGCTCCCCCTGTCTTTCACTGTCATGCATTACATCTTAAACTCGCTAGCAATCCTGTGTTTGGATTCTTCATATTCTGACATTGCTCCAAAATATCTGAAATATTCCACCATTAGAAATGCTTTATTTGTGTACCCTGAATTAAATTGGTGTAGAATTGTGCCTTTTTTCTCACCAACGTACATATTGCTTCAGTATCTCTGTGTGATTTTGGTTATTAATTGCAAAAATGATGGGCAAGACTGCCTTGTAGTAATATTAAATTATTATAATTTTACAATTTTCCCATGTCCTCAGGCTTGTGTGCACCAATGTGATAAAGTGCCTTGATTTCACACACACATATTTTACTGGATTAGTTATAAATTAGGCAGTCCTGTCTTTATTATTTTCTCTATTAAGAGTTTGTCTATTGATTTAGATTTTTTTAAAAGTAGTAAACCTGTTTTAGTTGTTAGCGTTATTTGAAAATTCAGAATATCTGTTTTAAATGCTCTAACAAGTCAGTAAATGTGGTTCTGTTGGTCTAACCTTTTTGTATTTGTAGATTATAAAATGAAAACACGTTTGAGTGGCCTTGTTGCTGTTTAAACACACTGACGTGAATGAGCACTGCGTTCTGTCCTTTTCTTCGACAGGTCATGGTTACCAACGTGACGTCCCTGCTGAAGACGGTGAAGGCTGTGGAGGACGAGGCTACCCGAGGCACCAGAGCGCTGGAGGCCACCATCGAGTGCATTAAGCAGGAAATGGCGGTGAGGACTGGTGGACGGCCGAAGCCCGTAAATGCTTCGACGTACACGTGGCTGATCTGTGATGAATGATGATGACGAATATTATAAGATTATCAACAATGCTTTGTCACAGTAAACATTTTTCGTTAGTTTTGTTACGCTGAGGAGACATGTCGTCATCAATCTGTGAATCTAATTTCTCATCCACCTGTCCTTTGTCATCTGCAGCTGTTTCAATCCAGGGATGCCCCCAACAAGACGACCACACCTGAGGAGTTCATTCGCATGACTAAGGGCATCACCATGGCAACTGCTAAAGCCGTGGCAGCAGGAAACTCTGCTCGGCAGGAGGACATCATCCATACGGCCAACCTCAGCCGCAAAGCCATTTCAGACATGCTCAACACCTGCAAGGTGCTTTTCTCCCTACCAGTCAGACAACTCTTACACTCATAGTGTCTCATTGTTGCTGCATTTTGGATTTTCATTATATTCAGATTGGATATTCCCCAATAAAACTCACTGGATGCACAGCAGGTGTAAGCCTGCCGCTGGCCGCTCATATCAGGCAGCATGGTCCTCTCCTTCAGCTGTTTTTGTCGTACCGTTTGCGTCACTGTGGGAAACAAAAAAACTTCCGATGACACTGAAAATTTCAAGTTTTGCTAAGGATTTGGATCGTACAGTAAGGCTGTCCTGCTAGTGTTTTTTTAGTGGATTATTGATTTTATTCATAGTGCTCACCTCCCTGTGTGCACCAAAACAATTTCACCAGTCACTGTTTTAAGGGAACACTAAGGCAGAATCCTTCGATTGGACTGCAGTTGGTGTAGAGAAATACAAACAAGCCAGCGTGTTTTCCCCCCTGTAGCAACATGCGACTGTGGTGCAGCTAAATCATATTCTGCAAATTGGGTGGGCAAAGTGAGACTAATACCTACACTGTCCGAATTCCCACACGGATGCAATCCTAGAAGTGAATGTAAACATTGCTGTGTGTTTCTATATTTCAGCAAGCGGCCTACCATCCAGAGGTCAGTGAGGAGGTGAAGAACAGAGCGCTGATGTTCGGATCAGAGTGCACAACCGGATACATCGATCTGCTGGAACAAGTGCTAATGGTGGGGTCGGACATTGTTTCAGTTAGTATGTATAGAGAGAGACATTTTGTTACTTTAGTATTGACATGTAGGATACAACGAAGATGCTATCATAATGGGTTGACCTTGAATTTCACGTTTTTAAAAGTTAGAGGACACTCTTTACACACTTCGGATTGCTCCAGCATTGCTTTGAAACTGCGCTAAATGACTGTGATAATGACACGGTTTGTGTTTTTGTGTTTAGGTCCTACAGAAGCCCACTGCAGAGCAGAAGCAGCTGTTGGCAGCTTGCTCCAAACGAGTGGCCGGAGCCGTCACAGAGCTCATCCAGACCGCCGAGGCCATGAAAGGTAATGACTCACATACACATTCAATCGACCACATCTGCACACACTGACTCCGTCTTCAGTGTCATATGTGATAAGATCAGATTCACGTCAGTAAGTGATAACTTGTTTGTTCACTAGTGAAGTCATTTATAATTCCCAGTAGACGGCGTTTATATAAAAGCATTTCATAATAATTTCCCATGTAACTAAGAAACAGAAACATTCCTTTTAAGAAACTTTTGGTAATATCCCTGTCCTCCTTCTCTTGCCACAGATGGAGGTAAGTTAGGGCTGCTTTATGTACTGTGACTTATTTCACCAGTTGCGAGCTGTTCGACACTTTTTTCTCCTCAGAGCTAACATCCGTTTATTTAATCTCATCAAATCCAGCTGCTCTCCGGCTTCTCAAGTACATAGTCGTCTTCATCCATCACGCTTTGTTTTATGCGCCATCTCATTTCAAATAAATCACTCCATCTTCATTGCAGTGACATTTTGTGCAATTTGTGGCCTCCATCAGCTCTGCATGGGATGTGAAGATCTGTGGCACTGTTTTTGTTTTGTTGTTTTTTTTTCTGTATGGTCACAGTGTTGTTGTTGTTTTCTTTGTGATCACAGCGTGAGGCATGTTCTGTTGACACACTGCTTTGTGAATATTACTAAAATCCAATTTTCAGGTTGAATTCCTAACTGTGTGTGTGCATGCGCGCCTCAGGTTCAGAGTGGGTGGACCCCGAGGATCCGACGGTGATCGCAGAGACGGAGCTGCTCGGAGCGGCAGCGTCCATCGAGGCAGCAGCCAAGAAGCTGGAGCAGCTCAAACCTCGAGCCAAGCCAAAGGTGGGTAACTGTGTGACGAAGTCATGTCACCGCAGTGTTGTTTCTCAGAGAGCCACAGGGCAGCAGTGAAAAGAAGTTTGTTTATGCTTTGAAGGCATTAACTCTGTTTCAGAGGCCTTTGGAACTGAATGGTAGACATGAAAGACTGTATAGCAGGAAGTTCTGAAACATAAAAATACTCTGTTACATGTAAAAGTTCTGCATTCAGATATTTATATGAATAGAAATAAGTAGAGATGAAGGAGAAAAATACATTTAAAAGTGTAAGTGAGCACTAATTTGGCAGTGTTGTCATATGTTAGTGAGCTGATGCATTTTGATGCTGATGTTGCTGTTTATTGATGCATTGGGCTGATTGTAGCTGCTTCATGTGCTGTAGTACTCACACATCCTTTCCTTAAGCAAAAGTACCAGCACAGCAATTTAATATTTGTTTAAAGTTAAAAAAAAAACAAAAAACAACATAATTGTTATTGCCACCAAATGCACCTACTAGATTGCTTTTATTATGTTATTATATTGCTGCCCCGCCGTGTGAGCAACGTTCAACCGCTGCAGCTGGTCCAGGTGCAGCTATTTTAAACGCTTTACATGCAGTTAAGTAGTGAAACGAAGTTACAGTGCCTCACCAAAGGATTTAAACAAAGCATTGCATTAATATATCAATAAAACAGAAATCTGACTGGTTCTAAATGTGTTATTGGGGCAGGAAAGAATTAATTCAAAGTTCTGCTGTACAGATTTGCTCTCGGTAAATATTGAGTCATTCGTTCTGGTGCTAACTACTTATTGACATTTAAGACTTTAGGGGTCTTAGGTTGGATTTTATAATCTTATCGTGGGTTTTAATGTAAAATCTAGTAACTAAAGCCGTCAGATAAATGTCGTGGAATTAAATTGTACAATATTTCCCTGTTAAAATGAAGTGGTTCAGGGAAAACTAAGAATGGATATGCTTAAGAAAAGTAAATGTCGCTTTGTTGGACTGGGTGTCATTAGCTCACAGGTTTTTGAAATCATAATTCCTCAGCAGAGTTGTTTCTTAATCCTATTAAAAGTACTGTCACATAGTTTGGAGCACATCTTATTTAAAGAGTTTGTTGTCATTTGAAATCTGAGCGCTGAAATAGTGAAACATATATATTTTAGCACCTATATTTTACCCTGGGGGTACACTTCAAATCATAACTTCCATCTTTGTGCCAACAGTTTTGGTGCCTTTACCTTTATCCTCGTGCTTTCTTCAAATAGCTTTGGACTTCACAGTGTATTCAACACTGTACATGAGACAAAATCCCCTTGTAGCAATAACCGAATACCACATATCTTTATTCATGCTCTGTGCCAGTCTGTGAACGTCTGTTTTTGTGATTTATTTTTAAGTTTCAGTGGTAATATTCAGAGTAGCCAAGGCCACGTTCCTACTGCAGCAAAACGGCACATCTTGTTTTGTGATATTCACAGATAATGCGCTCTGTCTCTTGTTCCAACTTTTGAGTTTCTTAATTTGGACTTCTTACGACAGCCTAAGACCCAGTTTATTGGATATTCATGTCCATCAGAGTTTTTCCTGTGAGTTTTATCTCTGTAGCCGTTACTTTCCCCACCGTTTCCATAAACAACCTCTACATAATATCTTTAGTCATATGCCATTCTTCCAAACAGCACCATGTTTACCATGTTTTCCCTCCTCCTCCTCCTCCTCCTCCTCCTGCTCCACCCTTCATCCATCCATCTGTGCTAGTTCCAGCTTAAGCCTGTCCCAGTCTACGTCTTCTAGCTCCCAGTTAACCCCCCCTGCCTTCCCTCCTCCTTCCCTGCCTGCCCCCACCAACGGAGGCCTTCTCTGCAGGGCTCTGTCTGATATGTTTGATATATTAGGTTGTTATTCAGTCCCAACTATATATCAAACATATTCCTACAGTGTCCCGCTCTGTCTACAGACTTGTGGTGTGGATGTGCTTGTGTGCGAAAAGTGCGTGTTTGTGTTCAAACGGGCCGACAGGAGTGTGACTGGATGTCTAATACAGAGTCTTGTTTCTTCTTTGGTTGCATCCAGCTCCTGATCAGCTGTTTAAAACGATGCTTTGTATCTGGCTGTGCCAAGCTTTTGGGAGTCATCCCTTTTGTCTCTCTTAGCCTCCGACTGTGTCAGCATTGATGGAAAAATTATTAATCAAATGGGACTTCAAAACTGTGTCAACAAAATGCCGAAATAAATGTTTTTTAGTAGTGAACCTACAGTTTATTGAAATGTGAATTTATTTTTTATAGTAGTGGTTACAATTTCAAATTTGACTCAAATGAAAGGCTTCCTCCGATTTGACCTTTTTTTTTTTCCCCCCTCCCTTCTTCAGCAGGCGGACGAGACGCTGAACTTTGAGGAGCAGATCCTAGAAGCGGCCAAATCCATCGCTGCAGCCACCAGCGCTTTGGTCAAATCAGCCTCAGCCGCTCAGAGAGAGCTGGTGGCTCAGGGAAAAGTGGGCTCCATCCCAGCCAACGCCGTGGACGACGGACAGTGGTCCCAGGGGCTCATCTCTGCCGTGAGTGTCGTGGCGAAGCGTCATTTCAGCCAACTTACAATCCGAGGCGCAGATTATAACAAATCCATCTTTACATTTTGTTCCCAGGCTCGTATGGTCGCGGCAGCCACCAGCAACCTGTGCGAGGCCGCCAACGCCTCGGTACAGGGCCACGCCAGCGAGGAGAAGCTCATCTCTTCGGCCAAACAGGTGGCGGCATCCACTGCTCAGCTGCTGGTGGCCTGTAAGGTGAAGGCTGACCAGGACTCTGAGGCCATGAGGAGACTGCAGGTACACACAGCAGTCTGATTCAGCTGCTTTAACAACCAGTCTGTACAACATGTATAACACCAGATTTTAGTCGTTTTATGACTGTACAACTAACTACTCATTGTTTAAAAGAATTCAAAACAAGCCAGCCAAAGCATTAGATGTGGGGGCACCTTTCTCACATTATGAGTGATTTAGTTTTTACTACTTTACGTTCACTTTAAGTTGCTGATAACACTGTTGTAGTGCGACTTTGATTTAAATAATCCTCCTCTCCAACCAGTGTCTCAACTGATCTCTTTCTCCTCTAGATTGCTGGCAACGCCGTGAAGAAGGCATCAGACAATTTGGTGCGGGCGGCCCAGAAGGCAGCATTTGACAAAGCAGATGAAGACAATGTGGTGGTCAAGACCAAGTTCGTGGGTGGAATAGCACAGGTAACGCTTTCAAGCAGCATTTAATATTATATCAAGCCACTGCTGCCTAAATTGTCATTCTTCCCACTGTTCTCCTCCAGACTCTGGTGTATTATTTAATGTCAGCTTAACCTGCCCTTTAAAACCTCCTCCATCTGCGGCTGCTTGCACTTTTGCATGCAGCTGTTCTTTGAATAGGTGAGGAGTGAGTGAGTGAGTTCTGGAAAGTTTGCTTTTACTTGGCTGACGTGATTGATAATCTATGTATTGACAAACATGTAGGCGCAAATTGCACGAAAGCACATACATCCACAACGTCTACACCAGGAGATAAAATGTGTGTCTTTAGTTTCCCATCAGTAGCACATTTTTGAATTGCCTTTGCCACACTGTCACACTTGGCTGTGTGCTGACGTTTGGCAGCGTTTAATACCTTAAAAAATGACGAGCAACTTCTGAAACACTCTCAGCTTCTAGATTATTTCACATTTGCTCTTGTCTCATCATGTTGACATTATTCCTTGAGAAGATTTTTCCCTCCTCCATCCACTGCTCCCAATGCAAATGATGTCTTTGTAACTTTAGAAACGTTGGAATCGAGGTTTAATAGAAGTGCAGTCACACACAATCGCACTCGGAATGAGAAATGAACACCAAGAAACACACAGACACATCAGCCATAGTGGAGGCAGTTATGTTGTTACTTTATTCCTACATGTATTGTTTAGGAAGTATCTGCACCACTTACCGTTGCCATTATATTGTCAATTGTCTTTTTATTTATGTATTTTTAAAGCTGCTCTGCAGATAATAGTGAAACAACATTTCATTCTCACTGTATGCCTGCATATGGCTGGAATAACAATATAAGATGGTAAACAGGTTTTTCATTTGTTAATATTCATAGCACATGTGACTTTTGCACCCAAACTGGACCGAATGGGGTTTTGAGTAACAGGCCCCGGCACTCTGCATAATAATAGAACGCAACAATAAAAGGTCTCCTCTGTGTACGTCCAGATCATCGCAGCGCAGGAGGAGATGCTGAGGAAGGAGAGAGAGCTGGAAGAAGCCAGAAAGAAACTGGCTCAGATCAGGCAGCAGCAGTACAAGTTCCTGCCCAGCGAACTTCGAGAGGACAGCAACTAACCGCTGCAGTTCATGCTGAAACCAGTGTCGAGAGCACATCTGTATTTGTGTGCAAATAGTGTGTCGTCCCTAACGGCACACCTGGACAGGTATGTGGCCTCCAGTGACTTCAGATATATTGTGACTGATTTAAGAAACCAGTAAAGCCCAAGTCTGCAGTGAAACACCGCCGACCGCATCGTGTGGAAAAGATCTTCAAGTCAACTGCTAGCAAGTTTGAAATACTACTGTGTGGAAACTGACTACTTGGTGAAAACAGCGTAAAGATTGCGGTGATTCGACTGAAGAGCTTCTTCATGTCCTCATGTAAAGCATAACTACTTCGACTGACCTAAACCAGAATGTGACCTGCTTAGGGACAAACAGCACAGCTCATTTGCTCTCACGTTTGCCCGCAAGCTCCGAATTTTCTTTCTTTTCTTTAAAAACTTGCAGCTCTAGTGCATACACTTTAAAAATGAAGAATTGATTGTACTGCTGTTCGTGTCTCATAGCTGTTAACTGCTTCCGAGAGCAAAAAACATTTCAGCTGGGTACTCTGATACTGAATAAATGTTGGCCTTTGTGCTCCAGTTTGGCACCTTAATGTCTGTCTCAATCATGTAAATCACTGTGGCATGTCTTGACTTCAATTCAGCCACCATTAACCCCAATATGAAGGAGGGTCGGATTTTGCATAATGGTGTTTCTTTGGACCATAATGTGAATTTCAGTAATGGACAGTTGTTTTGGGAATCTTTTGTTTGATGTAGACAGCTATATGCTTTCTCTCTTGTCATTTCTACGCTGATATTTGTCGGCTCTACACGCAAACATGTCTTCTTAAGATGCAACAAATTCTACATGTTCGTGAATATAGGTGTGATCACGTGCAGCCACTAAGGCTCAGATAGAATGTTTTACATTACATGTGAATGCTTTTCTACACAGGACGACATATTACGGTAGGAAGAATATTTATTACTCCGGAGTATTTTTAGCAGAGAGAGAGAGGTCTTTCGGGGGCAGAAATAGTCTTGTTTAGTTTCTAACGTCACAATCCTTCGAGCATCTTTTTTTTTTAAAATTCCGTTAGCATTTCAGGTGTTGAGATCTACATTCAGTATGAGCAGAATTTGATCATGATGCAATAAGATGGACGGTGCTTTAGAGGGCAGTATTGGTTTTCCTTACGCCTGCAAACTCAAAGTAATAATCCAGGAGATGATATTGTGTAACTGAGCGCTTAGTTATTCTACTTTCGGTGTAAGACGGATTCTTAACCTGGCAGGTCGATTGGCTCTAACACTGCGCAAAATAAAGAATAACTGGAAAGAATACCTCGGGCCTTTTGGATCAGTCAAACGCCGTGCAGCGCCACTTCTATGCATGTGCTTGTTCCTGATGCTTTCTACTTACTTCGGTCCTGATGTTGACGTTTTCTTTCTTTCCTACTCATTTTTCTAGCAATACTCAAATCACTGCCAGGGATTGATTTGTGTCAATTCACCTCCAATTCTGCGCAGCAAAATTCAAAACCTGAAAATAACTTGGCAATAAGCTTATTCTAAACAAACTTTTAGCAGCTGAGGTTAAAATTGAGTGAATTGAAAGTGAAGCGACTGCGACACTTAATCGCTGCAGTTCTTCTTTTCTGGGTGCGACTTTTACTGAATATGCTACTTGCTGCAATAGAAGAACCTTTTTTTGTTCACCGAGTTTGATTGTAATGTGTTTTGTTCCCTCGTCTTACTATATGGGCTGTGTTTCAATATTAAACTACAGTGTATTGTAAGATTAGGTCCTGCTGTGAAAAATGCATGGCTTTGTGTTGCAGATGCCGAGTGATTCAGACCTCCACATAACAGACAGAAACTAGCTAAAGACAGACCATCACTCTTTTTTGTTTTTTTTTTGTTGGACAGTTGAATTCAGAGGTGTTTTCTGGCGTTGTGTTTCATGTGTGAGAACGTGGGAGGGGAGGGTGAGGGAGGGTCCACTGCTTAACAGTCAAGTCTGTAGTGTTATTATTAGTGCCTTAGTCCGTAGCCCATACAGTGTCCGGTCTGCTTGAATGACAGCTTCACCTCATCAGTCAATAAGAAGGTACTGGACAAGCTCTCATTTGGAAATGTAGGTTCATGTCTGTGGGGTTTTTTTCACATTTGTCGTCCCACTTGCTAACGTGCTGTTCCTCTAAGTGCTGAAACCATCCGCACCCCCCTTTATTTTTCTCTCTGCCACACGCAAGGCCTTTCGGGGACGACAGAGGAAGCGTTCGCCAGTCAGGAAAATGTGTTGCTGTTTCAAATGTACTATCAGTATATATACTGCATATGTATATTAAATATATGAACACATTTTTGTACTGCATTCCATGGGCATGTACCACAGTGCTTCTGAACTACGACAGACTGGAGGTTCGAGATCTGTCGACCGCTTTATTGTGTGTTATGAAGTCACAGAAGTTTCATGGATGAGGCTTTTTATTTTCTTGTGCTTTTAAGACTCTACGAAAGATACATGTGATAAGAACATTTCGATATATCTGTCACCATTAAGATGTTGTGACGCATTTCAATGCTGTGGAGTAATTGAAGTGTTCTGTATGTTTTTGTTTTTCTTCCTCCCCTTCTCTTAACAGAAATAAAATTAGGAAGCCGCTATGATAAAGATAAGTGATAACATACGATATAAAAGATATTTATCTGGCCTCAATAAACTATTTTTTGTATTCACTGAAAATAAAGCATTTCAATGTAATGACATTTCTTCTTGTGGTTATTTCTTTTGTGGAGCACAAGTAGAAATATGTGTGCATTTTTTACTGGGTATGATTTCTGCTATTCATCAGCATTCCTTTTTTTCAAATTTAAGACCTGCATTTTCTCCCATCCTTTGTGAAAAAAAGAAGAAGAAAGAAACGATTGGTGCAAACATCCTGATTTGAAGATGTTTGAGTTTGAGCTTTCTGTAGCAAAGAACACAATGTCAGCAGTATGTTCTTAGCTGCTCAAAGCTACTTTGAGGTAAATACACCTTTATAGTTAAAAAAAAAAAAAAAAAACAAAGTTCAGTCAACTTAATTTGAACCCAATTTGAATTACTTCAATAGCACTTTCAGCTTTCACCTCAGAAATAGCCAAAAGGACTGTAAACCGGACTAAAATTGGCATCAATTGTGAAAAAGTGAATAAATGGTTCAAACAGGTGCCTAAATGTAAATAAACAGTTGAAATAGTTTGCCAATAGTGAGCGTGAAAAATTAAAACTGCTCGCTAAAGGTACACTGCAGGGGAAAAAAAAGACATTTTAAAGGGATAATGTTCCAGCTGCTGCAGCACCAACAAACAAACAAAAACAAACCAATTTCTACAAAAAATGAACAAAAGTAACCACCTCTCCTTAATTTAAATACGTTTTTGGACCTTAATTTTAAGAGATCCTGTACATCCATCCATCCATCATCTATACACCGCTGAATCCTCACTGGGTTCGCGGGGGGCTGGAGTCTATCCCAGCTGACTTAGGGTGAAGGCAGGGGACACCCTGGACAGGTCACCAGTCCATCACAGTCCTGTACATGTTTGGGTTGAATTTTTTAATGGATGTTTCCACGTGTAACAAAAAATAGATTATAGTTCATTTGCAAATGTATAAACATTACATTTTCTTTAAACAATGTAAATTTTATGATTATTTTACATTGGATATGTAACAGTCTATTTTTGTAATTGTATTGATATATTTGTGCCTTTCAAAAATACAGAAAATACAAAAGTTAAATGAAATGAATGCTCTTTTTGTGGCGTATGAATAAAGTATTGGAAATTCTTAGTTAAACATATGTAAACAATTGATATTGTTTGCCAAGATTAGGAACAATAGTTCAAAAACAATCAGCTCCGCATCTGAAATCGCTAGTTTTCATTATTGTTTAAAAGGGCAAACATTTGAAAGTAAAACAGAGATGTTCAAATATATAATTTTAACTAATTAATAGCTAGATCTGACCAAACTGACCAAAATACTGTCAATCTACTGGATCAAAAACATCTTAACAAAATCCACTTTTATGTATATAAATGTTAAATAAAATGTATTTAAATAGGTTTATAATTTGAGCATGAGCGATGGTGTTGATGAGGGGTTTCTTGAGTCCATCCGACTGGACAGTGTGGGTTCGTCCAGTGAGCACAATCGGAGACAAACACAATTTGGTTCGTGGTTAAAATGTACACAGATTTAATATCCAGCTCTGTCAGAACTTCAGTAGTATTTTACACCTACCAGTTTTAGTACACAACTTTGAAAAAACATTTTTACTTTGGAAAATCAAATTTGCAACGATTTAGCGGTTCTCTGATTAATTGCACGTCTGTTTGTTAAATCCAGGGATGATGTTGGAGATACAGGATGCAGAACCACCACGAGTTCTCCAGTCTCCATGAATAACAAGAGAAGTAAGATCTGGCAAGCGAACAAGGTCTCTTTAAGTGTCTGTGTCAGTCTAGTGTCAGGACAAGATGGTATTTCTGAGTCAGCACTAAACCTGACGCTATATTGAGTCCAGGCTACGAGCTGAGACCTGTGCTAAATTTGTCCGGCACTAAAATTTGAGGAGGCAATGTCAATTACAGTGGCACAGCTGCTCCCGGCACTGCTTTTAAACCCGGAATCCTTTTTCTGGTATTTCTCATTCAGTCGGCTTTTAGTACCATTGCTGCTTTCGCTTTTCCTTTTCCATGTCACGTACATTTACATCTCACTGACTGGCTAAAGATTTTCCTGTTAATGGTGGAGGTGACTTGTAACAAGAGGCCCTGTTAAACTGACTTGGCTGAGAAGAAGACAGCAAAAACCCTGGCTATAAGGACGAGGGCATTGAATTTAATGTGGACAAGCAGCTGATAGAAGACAGCTCATCCATTATTTTTATGTCCTAAATCTAATTATAATAAAAGTCAGAAAGCGGGTACAGTTACTGATGATGCCAGCATGTTACAGAGTAAGACTAGAGGCTTCATCCACTGAAGACTTTTTGTGTTCAATATAAGATTACCTGTCCTGACTTGGTGGCGCCACGAGCACAAGCAGTTTCTTCAATTCTCTTTTCTCAGCTACATTTACCCTCTGTGTAATTTTTTTGTCTTTTCATTAAAAAAGCTCAGTGATTTTTGGTTGTGCTACTCCATCAATGGAAACCGACACAACATCCTGGACCAAACGCCGCGCTCAGTGGCCTCACACGCTCATCACTCCAGGATTTTTGCATGATCTCACACATCAGCTATGCACGTCTAAACCGTTGTGATGAGCTCGATTAATCACAGCAAGAGATAAAGTTTGACTCAGGCGGCTCGGATGGAACGCCAACTTTATTCCTCCCTGAGACTTTCAATTATTGAGGAGGAAGTGAGAAATTCCAGTCTAGACATTAGCAATGAAATCATCATTTTTGTCTGGGAGCTAATCGCTGCAGCTGTCTCAACACATCCATACAGGGCGGTTCAGGCAACGTCGGCCTTTATTTGTGATCTGACACTAAAGTTGGACTAAATTCTAAAAATTAATTTGATTGAAGAACTATGTGGAGCTGTAAAACACCACATGAACAAAGCCTGTGTTTAGATTTATGAGCTCCTCCTGCACACATGGCCATTAACAGACAACGGTCCCCTCTTGAAATCACGTTTCAGATGTCATTAAACGTCACATAGCTCTTCAAAATGCCATAACAATTGTTACAGGGCCACATACTTCCCCAGATGAAGCAAACGCTGGGAATACTGAGGAATATTTCAATTATCTGTGTGTCTTAAAGCTTAAATAAAGTAAAGTTGATTTTTTAAGCAATATCAGGGAGATTTTCTTTTTAAAAGCTTGAACATGTTGGGGCTTTTTCAAAAGGAACCAAATGATTTAGAAAATAACTACTTTATCTTTGCGGTGAAAATGCCGATATGAAAAGAGTGTAAAAGTCACATTCAGCTGCAGTTACATCCACTACAACACCATGTTGCATCAAATAGACCTCAGCCCTATCAAAAACTTTGATCAAAGTATTTTCAGAAGGCTGAATCAAACCTTTAACCTAATCTAAGAAAACCATTATTTGTTGGACAGGTACAATGTGCCGATGTTCGTCTCTGTGTCTATCCTGGCTGATAGGGTGACACGGATTGCGCCATGAGCCTCTCTGATCTCTGTATATGACAGGCATGCCTGGCTGGCTGCTGAACAGTCCACAAAACACATGGCAGGATGACAACACAGTGACAGCTGACCGCCTTAAAAAGCTCCCAAGGAAGACTATTAGGACAGACCACCACAGAATTAAAATGCAGCCGTGAGAAGTACAGAAAAAAGGGCACCGATTTATAAGTAGATCCTATAAAATGTTAACTTCAAACCTTTACCATAAGGACTTTGAATCTCTTTTTTCAGTTTTCCATAATCTCTTCTTCTCTGAGTGTTCAAACTGAGTAGATTTCACATAATAACAATTGGGTTCGCACAAGACGACATCACGTGACAGGAAAGCGCTTTTCATATGACTGATCATTTAGACTGATTGTGTTTCTTTCACAAAGGGACGAACTGGCAGAGATTCAGGTCTGGAAAAAGAGTCAATGCCTCTTAAATCAGACTGAGTGAGAGTAGGAGTGGCTGTGAAGGCCATGGACAGTTTCCAGCAGGTGCTTTCCGACCTGTAAGATCCCAAAATATGCACTCAACAAAACACAAGGAAAGCTTTAGGAACAAAAGAAACTGGGGATGGAGGCTCCTAAAAGAGAATGAGAAAATACTGTCAGTGTGGGTTACTTGTTATCCACCAATAAAGAACAGCACATTTGTAGACTTTATTTAGCCTATCATTACTCAAGAGCTTATTGTTGCCCATTAACTTCAATTTTCTACTTCTTCTTGTGGTGCAATTCCCCTGAAAGGAATCACTGGAGTCGACAGTAAAGTATTATTACTCAACCATCCACCGCCCTGACCGCAGGTTGTGTGTGACAGCTGCGCCTGTGCCAGTGGCTCTGTGAACTATCACAGAGGCACAGCGAGGGGGCTGCTGAAATGCCAAAGCTTCTGTATCTTGCACTGCTCACACCACTGTATCCACTGCGGCCCGTTTGAGATAGAACACTCAGGCATGCATTAGTTGAGAGAAGAGTTGGACAAGCTCGATGATATAACTCTACAGAGAGCAAAGCCTATCTGATAGCTGCTCGGATGTTGAACTATGTCATGAGGGAGCTGCTGAAATGATCCCTGGAAGACAAACAAGCCATACTGGCTAACATGACACCCCTCAAAGGGAGAGAAACTTTCACAGGGGCTTATCCAATCAGATATATTTGTTTTGTGTGAATAGCTTTGATGAATGAAATGCTGCTGCAATTTAATCAGTGCTCATATCTGAATGAATGAAGGGAAAATGATGAAATATGAATGCCTGATTTTTTTAAACTGCCTCAAATCCTTTAAATTGGTGCTTCTGGGTATATTTTAAAGACAGTCATTTGATCCTCTTTGGCCTTTGCTCACATGAAGTTTGTGGGTCATCTTTCTGGCTGATAATTGGGTCATTATTATCAACATGTTTCCCCCAAAGAACCCCCCTCAGGGGACTACTACCTCTTTGAGTCATGACACTTCACTTCCACTTGGAGGGTGTTAGAAATAGGCGTGGACGTCTTGGTGCGAAGGGGGAGTGTCTTCTTGACGTGCGTACCCCATGTATAGTCAAAGAAGTGGTCAAATGTCTTGGAAGAGCGAATCAGTGAAGGGATTCATAAAAAAGACAGGTCCGGCATTGGCAGGCAGCTGCAGTTGCTTCCAAAAAAGTATTGGGTATCCAGTAACTGCCCAGCCAAAATACATATTTGACTCACAACACACAAAGCGAGCCCGCACTCCAGCTTGGCGTTCAGTGTGGTTCAGACGCTCCGTCCACTTCATTTAGGTTCGTTTGTTTTCGGTTTGCGCGCAGACCCCCCGACACTAAGCAGCCATGGATGCCATCAAGAAGAAGATGCAGATGCTCAAGCTCGACAAGGAGAATGCCTTGGACAGAGCTGAGCAGGCCGAGTCAGACAAGAAGGCAGCTGAGGACAGGAGCAAACAGGTCGGCATCCATTGTGAACTCTGCTCTGGTACTTTTACGCACCGGTGCCATTGGCACAGTGCGCACGGGGCTGCATGGCTCCTGTCAAGTGCCCTTCCACTGAGGATTAATATGTGTGCTTTCAAATAAGTAAAGTAACTTTTAAAGATTTTATGAAGAAAAAATAATTATCATCTTTGTTTTGAAAGTGGACTGCATGAGCTTGGCAAAATTGGCAACATTTTACTTTTGCTTTTGGATCTTTATTATTTCGCTTTTCTGTTAAACAAGCAAATTATCTTTTAAGACAGCAAGGGTTTACAAATAATTGCCTATCTTTAAAGAGTAACTGCATGAATAGTTGATGTTAGTTTATTAAGTAGAACAATATCCGATGTTGTCGTTCCTTATCTGCGATTAACTGCGAACAATTGTGAGGTGTCCCGTATATGTTGTTGAGACTGAGTTTGAGAATATTTTCGTTTTGTAAATAAATCTCTTTCTCTGCGCACCAGCTTGAGGATGACCTGGTGGCACTGCAGAAGAAGCTGAAGGCAACTGAGGATGAGTTGGACAAGTACTCTGAAGCCCTGAAGGATGCCCAGGAGAAACTGGAGCTGGCTGAGAAGAAAGCCACAGATGTGAGTTTGGGTTGAAGTTGCAGTAGATCGGTGAAGAAACCCAAGCAGGGCACCTATTGCCTACTGATCTGACCTTGAAACACCCCAGGGGTCACCTCAGAAAACTAAGGTCACTAGACCCCATACAGATATACTCCAACACTTAAGTTACGCAATGATAGTGAACTATTAGAGACCTTTGGGTTGCATAGGACGAATATATGGATAGTTAAATTTAGCTCTTGTGCTGTATATGGTAAGGTCACAGCTCGCTGGCTTACTGGTGCATTCCGCAGCCATTTGGACCAATCTTAGGGCCAGTGTCTGGTTTCAGTCAGACGTTTTACAGGCATATTTTGGCTTGTAAAATCCTTGACAGATTTGTGGTAGTGCAGGTTTCAGTTGGCACTGCACTGTTGATGCCCGAACCCGGATGAAATTACCAGTTTATTGACTGCGTTTAATGTTACACCAATTAAGCTTAATTGATTACGTCAGAACCAGCAGGGATTAGTAACCGAAGATAAACTTTATCCCTGAAGATGGACTTACTTTGATTGGTTAATTGATTGGCAGGGTAAACTAAATTTAAAAACGGCTTTAGATGCAACAAATACAATAAATATATGAATAAAATAAGGAATACAAGCACTTTTTAGCACCGTGAAGTTGCACAAACAAAAAAAAGGATGATTAGCACACTTGTTTAAAACAACAATATAAACACAATAATAATAATAATAATAATAATAGTTCGAATATTCATGTTTTTAATAAATGTGACAATTGGTTATGTGTGTAAAATTGTGATACACTTGTTGTTGCTGTACTCATGGTTCAATCAGTGTGTGATGCTGGGAGCTGTGATTTTGATAGGGTTGGCTCAATTTAACAGTAGGGGACGCACTTAAAATAGCATCTCAATTATATAGTTGTACAGCATCCAAAAAGTGTAAAAATGACATGAAATTGATTTTAAACAACCCTCTAAATCAGTTTAATTTACATATTTCGTTCAGTGGATAAATGTAATTATTTGCAAGTAAAATGAGTCGCTTCCGGGGTTGGTGGCACGTCCCAATCCTCATCAGCGGTTGATTAAAGGCGGTGGGGGCAGGGATCAAACGCGCCGCATCTCCAAGTGTGTGTGTGTTTGTGTGTGTGTGTGTCCGCGCCGAGAGAGTCCGACAGAAAAACTAGCTTAGCCAGGAACAAATACAGCAGAAAAATGGCCGGTGGCAGCTCCCTGGAAGCCGTGAAGAAGAAAATCAAGTCGCTGCAGGAGCAGGCCGATGTGGCGGAGGACCGGGCAGCGTTATTACAGCGGGAACTGAACCAGGAGAGGAGTGCGAGGGAAGCAGTAAGCTGCTAATGATTTAAGGCAATTAGTGCCCAGGCTGCCGACGGCATTAGTCGCAAATCTGGTCAAAAAGCGTAGCGGCTAGGCCCCGTAGACCACCATGGTGTAGACTGGGAAACTGGCAGGTAGTTTGAAATTAGCCCAGTGTGGAGCGTGAGGACATGATGGGTGGATGAGAGGACACCACCCGATACGTCCCGAATAAACAAACAGTCCGCTTTAAAGTCGGCTAACATTACAGCAGCAGCAGTAGCAGCAGCACATGTCCTGTGAGATAAAACACTCCCCTGTGCAACTAGCTAGTAGAAGCACAGGGAGCTGCCTTTATCCTCGTGCAAAATATGAAGCTAATTTCGTTATGGGACGAGATAAAGAAATCAGTGTGAGGCAGAGAATTACAGGTTTCACTGGAAGGCTGTGTAAACTTCCTTAGCATGTACTGGAAATACATTGCTAACATGGTGTAGGTGATAGAAAGCTCAGTTCTTTAGTCTGTATCTAAGATATCCATCATAACACAGCCAGCATCCCTCCTGACCCAGCCCAAGCTCTCCTTGGAGGAGCTCTCCTGGGAGAGCTTGGGCTGGGTCAGCAGGCAGCTCAAGCCCCCCTTTGGAGAACATGAGATGACTTAGCTCCCTTTTTCCACAGCAGTTGAAAGCCTGAAACACACCATAATGCACTATTTTACTTGATTTGACTTGTGGTGTTGTGCTCTCCCAGGCTGAGGGTGATGTAGCTTCCCTGAACAGACGTATCCAGCTGGTTGAGGAGGAGTTGGATCGTGCTCAGGAGCGTCTGGCCACAGCTCTGACCAAGCTGGAGGAGGCTGAGAAGGCTGCTGATGAGAGCGAGAGGTGGGTATCTTACATCTGGAAAGTGTATTGCACCTCATTACACTCGAATCATGTGACGTACAGGCAAAAACGCAGCTTTGAAGTCGTGATGGACACAGAATGGCACATGTTGCGTGTCTTTACTTCCTCATCAATTTTTGCATTCACTTCAGAGTTCTGTACTCTTTGGTAGAAAGAGGGCTGTGGTAGGGTTATGTCAAGCTGTTTGGGTTTTTAAAGTCAAACTAAAGCAAATTCAGTCATACAGTACTCCAGTGTATTTAAGTTTTGGGCACTGTGCACTTGCAGGCTTGATGTAGCATAGTGGTGATGCTGGTACTGAAGACCTTGTAAACAAACAAGCATTTTAAATCAGTCACTTCAGTGCCAGACTTACCTCACTCTATTATAACAAAAATCAAAGACTGGCACGTGCTGTTGGAGTACTACTCCTAACGTCTGGCTCAGTGCTGCCATCTGTGGCTGGAAGTTATATTGCATTGCTGTGTGTGCACTAGATTTAGGCTTTGCAGAAAAGTATTTTTTTGTAGACAATATTTTGCATAATATTGTGAATAAATTCTTCATGGTATATTACTGTTGAACAATGGCACATGCAGCACACCTGTGGCATTTTAATGCAAGCTTAGATTGTGCCTTAAGCCAAGATATTCACAACATGAATAGCCTTTTTCATGAGGTGTGGAGGGTTTATTAATATGTGGCTGCTCACACACAGTCATCATGACACAGTGTTGTCCACTGCAACATGACAGTGTGTGTGAAGTATTCAGACATTTTGCTCAGACAGTAATCTGGTGATATTTGAAAGTCCTGTTGAATTTTAGGCCATCTTCACCCATTACGAGAAACCAGCAAGATCCATGTACTTTGTGGTTGATGTTCTTTTATTAAGGGTGAGATTTCCTGGGCCCTTATGAGACGATCTCCAGAGCCCCTGTCTGCTGTACAAGAGGGAATTATCCAAATATTACTTAAAACTTATCTTCCGCACTTTGTTCTTCTCCTCAGAGGCATGAAGGTCATTGAGAACAGGGCAATGAAGGACGAGGAGAAGATGGAGCTGCAGGAGATCCAGCTGAAGGAGGCCAAACACATTGCTGAGGAGGCTGACCGCAAATACGAGGAGGCACGTGTCTCAGCTGTTCACTTCACTCTGAGCCTCGAGCTTGGCATTTTCTACATTCTTCATAAATCATTCTCAAAATTACAGTAGATGTGTGAAATCATTGAGTTGTGTCTGGCCGTGCGTCGATGTGTCAGACTCGTGTGGGACTAGACTCTGTGTGTTGTGACTTCAGGTGGCCCGTAAGCTGGTGATCATTGAGAGTGATCTGGAACGTACAGAGGAGCGTGCTGAGCTGTCTGAGAGGTAACGCCTCCATCTGTTCTCTATGAGAACTTTAAATAGCATTTGCAATATATTCTGTTGTATTTTTGTTTTCACACACCCCTCCGTCTCTTTCTGTCTCTCTCTGTTCTTTTTTTGTGCTTGTTCAACCACGCCATAACTCAACAGCAAATGCTCTGAGCTTGAGGAGGAGCTGAAGACCGTGCAGAACAACCTGAAGTCTCTGGAGGCCCAGGCAGAGAAGGTAAGACGGCTAATTAAGAAGATTCACAACGAGTGCTTTATAGCATCAGCCCTTGCAGTTTGCTCTTTTTGTGTATTGTCTTATATATTTGCCTAACTCCGGCCTTTTGTATGTGACTACAGTACTCACAGAAGGAGGACAAGTATGAGGAGGAGATCAAGGTTCTGACAGACAAGCTGAAGGAGGTGAGTTGGCTCGAGTCATAATAAATCACCAGCGAGTTGTTTTTTTTAAAAATGCATTTGTCCATCCCGCAGTACACTTTTAACAGGTGTTTTGTAAAGCTTGGATCTGATTCATTAGTTACTTGAATTAAATGTGCTGACTATATTTTTATTAGGAGTGATACTTAAGAGCTTTGTGTTTCCTGAAGGGCTGCGGTTAGTAATGTAAACCTCATAATGGAGACCGCTCAATACTTGATTGTATTCTTCCACTCAGGCTGAGACCCGTGCTGAGTTCGCTGAGAGATCAGTCGCCAAGCTTGAGAAGACCATTGACGACCTGGAGGGTATGAATCTTTTACACTTGATTTGTAGTCTCTGGCAGAGTTTTTCTTCACTTTACTTTAGGAAATGTCAGGAAATGTTTGTTGCTGTATTTACTCAGTCGGTGCAAAAAGAAATGCTGTTAGGCTGTAATCAGGCATCCCCGCAGAGTCTTCCTTTAACATGAGTTTACTTTCATTTCTCTAAAGGACGCTTTTATAAAGGGAAAAAAATAAATGATACCGTGTGAGGGTATTTATCTGGTCAGCAGGTTGCTAAATAGTGCTCAGGACAAATATCTGCACTGTCAGAGGGGAAAAAACAAAGCAGTGATCCGTAGAGGCTGGCGTGATATTATTCATGTTGCCAACATTTCTCACCACAGTGCAGTTTGGCATTCTGGTGTAGTGACTGTTCAAGGCCAGCTAGTCCCAAGCAGTCCTCACAGGGTCACGGAACATGTGAGGCAGTTTCTCAGTGACTCCTCAGGAATCTGACACAGCGTCAGCAGCTGTTCATGCACCCTTCCTATTTCTGTCCTGCCTTTTTTTTTTCTTTTTTCTTTTTTCCAGTTTCTCTATTTGTGTTTTTCATTTGACTTTCATTCTCTGACACTGTGAATTTTCTGTTCTTTATTTTATTGCAAAACCCTTCACCCTTCCCTGCCACTTGATAATAATTACCATACAATAGATGAGCTGTATGCCCAGAAACTGAAGTACAAGGCCATCAGCGAGGAGCTGGACCACGCCCTCAACGACATGACCTCCATGTAATTCACCACATGCTTGTTTCTGCTCTCTACCTTAGATCTTAACTCTCCTAACTACTGTAGCAACATACACTGGCTCCCTCTTGTGGCATGTTGATTGCAGTGAATTTTTCTTTTTTACTTGCAAAATCATAGATGGCTAAATCCTCCTAAACAACTCTTTTGACATTGATTTATAATTAAACTAATGGTGTTTTGGATCTATTTTAGACTAGGTTCTACACTAGATTTTGTTTGTCTTTGTAGTTTATTTCTCATTTTCTAGTTTTTCTGGCTTAGGTTTGCATCCCACCTCCTACTTTGGTTTTGCATGTCATTCATTCCTTCTTTTATTTCTCCTTCCAACACCTTTTGTTCTTCTTTTTTTTTCACAGCTAAATTTTCACACCCTTCACTCCAGAAGCTGGTTGAGCATCATCATTTCTCTCCTGTGCAGCGCAGCCCAACTTTCTCTCTCCTTTGTCTCCGTATTTCTTTACCGCTCTGCCACTACTGCACATTGGGCCACCGCTGCCAGCATCCATCTGTCCATCTCTCATCCAGACCTTTGAGCCATACTGCTTTCTGTAAAATAAACATTTTCCATCTATGTCAGCCCTTCCCCTTCCTTTTTAATGTTTCTTCATTTCCATTTGTCCCACCTTTTTTTTTTTTTTGTTTGTTTTTGTCTATGTGTTTTAATTTATTTTGTCGAGTAGCTTTTGAATAAACTCTGAAGCTCCTCTCCCATTTACTGTTCCTTTTTCTGTTTGAGAGGAGTGTTGTTTGGTATAATGGCAATATTGGGGTATTCTTAATTTAAACGACAAACTGTCATTCTTATGACGTACAATGGTTATCGTCTTATTTTATCTAAGACTAAGGCAGAGTTTTCAGTAGTTATGACAGGTTACCTACTTGGATAGGCACTTTTTTATGTGTCCCTAGTGATTTTGAATTTACTGACTCAAACGTTTAAAAATTAGGGTTTTGGTTTTTTTTCCCAGGCCATCCTCATTAAGTTGTAACCCTAACGCTTTAGTCTATGTTGAGTACGAGTGAACATACAGTAGCAACAGCAACTGCAAATCCTCCACCCTCTGTGAGCAGCTACTTTGCCAAAAATACAACGAAAGAGAAACTAGTGTATCTGGTTACAAACAAACTCACAATGTAGGTATGCATAGCAAAGCAATCTGATTCCAAGGCAGAAATGAAAGACTTGGCCACTACACTCATCTAACTACTATATTGACAGCTATGTAAGGAATGTAAATATGTTGAGTGGCGACTGCAGAAACAACACCGAGTGTACATGGTGTCAAAACTGGGGTTTGATTTCCAGATAATCTAAAGGATTGTAACTTTAAATATGTTCTGACATCAGATCCACTGACACTGAATCTGGAATATTCATTTGTTACAAACCAGTGGGCTTGTTTCAGGCTATCAGTAGCATTGCAGAGGAAAAAGACAACATTTATCAGTAAAATGCAACAACAACAAAAAAAGCCTGTTTAAAGAAAGCAGCAATAATTGGCTGTGTGACTTTGCTATGGTTCACCGCTACAGCAACTTACTGACACTTTGGGGCCGTTTTTGAAATGTGAAAAGGTCAAGTAATTATTGCCTTTGCTTGTTCTCTTCATAAGGTTGATTGTTCAACAGCTTCATAACAAATTGACACTTGTTTTGTGATCAAGCTTCAATACGTCACTAACTCTTTTGTCTTTTGTACTAACCTGCTCTCCGTCTCTTTCTCTTTTCTCTTACCTGCTTTCTGACTGTCAAGACCATCTATACAAGCAGATTGAGAATAACCGTCTTCTGACCAATGAACTGAGAGTAGCCTTAAATGAGGCGTAAACTGGATCCGTCTCTCGTATGCTTTAACTTTTCTGAAACTCGAATGTCCAGGAATACTGTCTAATGCTGTTATCAAAAAGAGTATAGACAATGGTGTCTATGACACAGCTACACTAAACAAGTAACGCTTTCAACAAATGGGAATACAAGTGGAAGTTTTTCACATAATGCATGTTCAAACAGCAGTTTCAAGTGGGAGGTCAGACAACCTCAGGTTAGCAAAAATTCTGGATTGAGGTTGATATAGTTTCTCAGTTATTGTCAGGGCTGTAGCACATGGATCAGGATGTGGTCTGCATTGTGCTGCTGTTCATGGGGTAAAGGCTGGTGCTGGCTGTTGAGGCCCGAAGCTTTAGAAGGCTAAAAATATTGCAGAGAATTTAGAATTCTTTCTACATCTTTGAACCAAACTCAAGTTTTTCAACTCGAATCAATTCTAAACTGAAAATCCTAAGATTGTGTTCAAGGAATCTGACTTTCTCTGCCTTGTTGCAATTGAAGGAACTTCCATATATTTGATCCGTAGCATTTCATGTCAGAGTTTTAATCATGAGTTACGTTAATAACACTTTTGACTTTGGTGTTTCTGAACCTGTGATGCCCTCGAGCAAATCCCAGTGAGCGTCACAGACTATCCACACCCTTCCACCCCCACTGACCAGCAATACCTTATATGTAGAATATTAAATCTATTTAAGGCTTAAAAAGTAGCACAGGTGGAGATTGTATGATTTGGCATGTAGCAGTAAGAATGCAGTTTTCACATCATGTGCCTACTGAATGACAGAGCGGCCTGTTTGAGCCGGTCTGAAACCTGTCGGTGCTGTATTCGTCTAATCAATTAATCAAACCTGGAATGTATAATTACAACAAAAGCAAAAGGGTATTGGACCTAACTGTGGAGGGAGGTAAATGTTTATGTGTAAAGGGGAGGTCTATCATTTGGGGTTTAATCAGAGCTCACGTTAGATTTTTTTTAAGTTAGCGTTTTTGTTGTTGATCGACCTAGAACTGCTTGGAGAGAGTGCTCTGACTTGATACTGTAAGTCATGCACATCATTCAGATCCACTGCCAAATCAGACTTGACTGATAAAAAGGACCTTCCTTTGTTCCTAGACACAGCTCATGCAGTCGTGACTACAGCCCTGTCTATAGCTTGAGTGTCACATGTGTGATTACTTGTCAAAATGTGGAATTGGCTCACAATAACCTAACGTAAGTTTTGTGTATGTACTAACTTAATGAATGCTGTTCTGTTCTCAAAATATATAGTGGGAGGTGGAATTTTTCAAACTCGTAAGGTTTGCAACAATATCCAGCACGTATGTCACTGTTCCACTGAACTAGAGCTTTGTCCGTTTATACTCTGCTTCTTTGCACCGTCTGTTTTATGGTTTTTAACTGATGCAATGCTATATTAACAGATAAAGTCACACGTGCGCAAGAAGAGGGCCTGAGCATAAAGCTGATGCTGGATCAGACTCTAATGGAGATGATTAACATTTGAGCCAGCTGTGTTTCTCTCCCCACATTGCTTCATCTGCTCTGAACATGGCTGCTTCCCACATATGGCTGCTACTGGTAATGTGGGAGCTTGTGTCTATTTGTCTCCTCTGACCTCGTCAACTTGAAGACACGAGCTCTACACAAAGTAGCAGAATAAACTTTGGTGAGCTACACTTCAACCACACTGTTTTCTGTATTCAAAGGTCAGTTAAAATTCACTGTATATCTGTACTGGTTTACATGGATATGTTGGGAATTTGCACTTTTTGGGGAAAAGCACTGCACATAATCGTCATGAATGAAGCCATAATTTAAGCCAAGGTTATATAAAAGGGACTTTTATTATATGTACTTTTGTAAAGTTGTTTTTTGTGTCAGTTTCTGCTGTATTGTGAACATTTATTCATTGTCAGTGATATTCTCTTCCAGTTTAGCAAGGAAGGAATTCTTAGGATGGTCGTGAATGTACTGTATTGTTTCCGCTAAGCGGAAGACATGCTTGTGCACTGTACTCATGTTTCTGTTGCTTATGTAGATGTTTTCTAAAATCTGACTTTTTTTGATTTTTGTCTCTCTCATTTTATCTTGGAAATGTAAAAATCATAAATAAATAGTTGAATCAAATCATTTTCTCTGCTGATCTTTATTATACAAGTTTGCTCTGTGTTCTTCAGTTGAGTGATGAAGAAATATGGGAAAATTTGAGATATCAAATTAAAAACTTTTACTTATTACTGTGGTTTTCTCAGCATGCAATGAACTTTTCTATTTGAAGTGCCGCTAAGATTTTAAATGGGAAAACCAGACGGGGTTGTTGTAGGATAAACGAGTTCATCACCACTGCACATCATGTCCACCAACACTTCCTAACCTGTTTGGGCTCGTTATGCCATAAAATTAAGCACTGTGTACTTGGGACTAATTTTTATAGGTTGTAGCCCCAATGTGAATATAAGTTGTAAGAAATCAAGTTGTAAGAATTTTTATTTATTTATTTATTTGACCAATAATGTGTTTTTCAACCCTCATACTTTTTCATAAAATGAATGGCTAAAGTGCCAGTATTTCTCGAGCAAAAAAAATATTAGGTCAAATCCAGCAGAATTAAACAGAAATATAATTCTCTCTTGTATAACCACCAGTCAAAACAACCATCCTTTAGAAGTTGCCCTTCATTGAACTGAAGAGGCTGACTGACGGGGGGGCAGTCAGCCTGCAGTAGCTCCTCCTCGCCGCATGGGGGCAGCCCGTCCACAAGGCAGCGGTCGACAGCGGTGGAAGTGTAGAGGTGAAAGTTCGTAGCTGCGCAGCGGTGCTGGAAAGCCCACCACTAGAGTGAAATATGAGTGAAAATCAAGATTTTACGGATTCTTTACAAGACAGCAAGGCTTCGTATGTACTCAGCAATGTCGCCGAGGTGGTCGAGCGGATTTTGACGTTCATACCGACCAAGTCGCTCCTCCGGATAGCGAGGTAACGGGAAATGTTTGTGCGCTAAACTGTTGCCTTTGCTAACGTTCATGGCCGTCGAATGAAAGTGAAGCTAATTTTTTAGAGACATTAAGGACGCTAACCCGGTAGCCAGACTAACTCAAAGCTTAGTCGCTTTAGCTGATAACAGAGCTTATTACTTTCAGGTATTATGTGGTGTTGTTATTTTTTTGACAAAGGTGTAAACAGACAAGCTAACTGCGCCTTGCCAAGTTTCTACTTAGCTAGCAGGTTGAATCTGAGTGCGCTTGTGGTTCTGTTTAGTGCACTTGTTGTTCTCCTCAATGTGTTTGTGGTTCTCCTCAGTGTGTGCAGACTATGGAGAAACTGTGCCCGCAGAGTGCTCCGGACTCAGCAGCAGCTGAGCTGGGTGTCAGCCTGCGGACCGTCCACCACAGAGGTCCATGCTCTGTGCAGCGTCCTGGCTGAAGAAGTGGAGGTAAAGTTCTGAGCTCACATCAAGTGAATAGCAAAGGAAGGCTCATTTGGGTTAGTTAGTGTAAACGTAGAACCTTTTTCGTACATAACTTATTGACAGCACAACATTATTACAGACCATGGTGAAGACTCTTTTGGTGCCAATTGGTGGGTGAGTTGCCAAAACATCCAAGCTAACCTGAAAGTGTGCTGGAAGTTCTTGAGTGGAAATCTAGTTCAGGTACTATAAAAGATCATCACGGGTTTATCAGTTTATCAGATGGTGGTTTATGTTCATCAACATGATTAGCCTTCCGATGGATTAGTCATGCTATGACTTGGAAAAGATAACGTTTATGGGTTAATAGGTTTTGAATGACTAGGCATGTTTTCGTAGCTGTTGATTGAAAAAAAAGATGCTCTGACAAATGTTAGAACTGTGTTTTTAACATGTGCCCTTTGTTTCTGATTATTTACAGAAAGTTTTCCTCCTACCTAAAACAGTTCTGACAATGGTAGACTGTGAGGCCTTCAATGGACAGGCCTATAGCTACGAACAGAATAAAGGTTAGTATGATATAACTTTATAGAGAGCTCTAATTGTTTGCGTAGCGTTGGGGCCAACATACATCTTGTATAAAGAAAGCGATTCTTCAGGGAAAGTGACCATTTCTTCAAAAGTCATATTTTAAACTTTAAAATTTTCAAACAACTAAAACAGAGGCATCCTTTGGCTTCCATACTGTACCAAAAAGCTAGTTTGTTTTAATTATTTTGTTGAAAAAATTAGTCTTCTGTTGCATTTTTTTTTCAGAAGAACATTTTTAGATCCTTAAATTTCCTGTAACATTTCCAAGAAAATCTAGATTAGATAAGTTATATATAACTGAATCACATTGCAAGTTTATGTTAGAAGGCTTTGCATTTACCTTGCCTTGAATTTAACTTGAAAGGCAAAGAGAACATTTATGTTTCTATGCATTCCAGCACTTTTTATAAAGGGCAGAAAACTCACACATGATTCGAACCAGGACAGAGAAGAGCAACAGAACAACCATGCCATCTTGCATAATGTGATTTCCAAGATGATGTAGACACACTGGAGTTAATTATTCATTTATAATACTTCTGAATTAAGTAATATGTTTTGCATGCTTGTTAAAATTGTGGTCTTTGCCTTTGGTGGTTTTTGCAAGTAAACTCAGGATCAATTGCCCAAAGAGCTTAATCTGGATTAAATGATCTGGGTTTGGAAATAACTTTTTTTTTTTTGCTATCCAGGATCAGGTAGTCTATCTTTTGTGCTGGTTGTTCAAGGCAACATTGGATTGGATCACCCTGATGTAGATACAAACTTCTTGAGATGACCAAATCTGGATTACCAGTGTTTTAAATAGGACTACATATTACAATATATGATTGTAGCTGTGCAAGAACAGCAGGTAGAAGGGTCAGTTTTATGTGCTTTTATTTGAACAGGCAGAAAACGGCACATTAACACAATACAAACATTCCCTTGTTCCAAATCCTTAGTGAAAATTAGATTGTTTCTGACCAACTTGACTCTGATTGATTGGGTGATGCTGTTTCAAAGCAAGGAGTTCTGTCTAAGATCCTGTCATGCTGCTAATCTGTGTTTTATGAATGTAATGACTGTTTGTTTTCTTAGTTTGACAGCACTCAGTGCTAAGCACTTGCACTTATACGACAGTTGAAGTTGGTATTTTATTTATATCAAAACATTTCAGATAATATCATAGTGCTGTAATGTTGTATTGAAATTGTCACTCAGTTTGTTTTCAGTTCAGCTAATTGAAAGGCGTGTTCCACCAGTTGGAATTCATTGGTACCATAGTGTGTAGCATAATCAGAGTTGCTATGGCTACCTTCAGTTGTGCAGACTGATTTACAGACATTGTTAAGCTTTTCACTACAACCAAAGGACACCTGCCAGTTAGTCCAAAAAAGTAACACAGGCTTGTGTATTAATTTGAAATATGGGTTTTAAACTTGATCTCACTTCAGTTTTTAAATTTACTATGTTGGTATTTAATGGAAACTGCTACACGGAGTGTTCTGCAACACTAGTAATCGTAGATTTACAGTCTTATTCTTGATGAAAAGGTACTTAGAGGGTGTAAATTTCTCTAAATGTAGAATTGATGCATAAAGATGTTAGGCCTTGAAAATACAGTGACAGTCTTAAAAAAAATGCAGTTTGTTATGTATGTATGTATGTATATATATATAGATAGAGAGAGAGAGAGAGAGAGAGAGAGAGAGAGTGAGTTATATATATATACACTCACCGGCCACTTTATTAGGTACATCTTGCTAGTACCGGGTTGGACCCCTTATTTGCCTTCAGAACTGCCCTAATCCTTCGTGGCATAGATTCAACAAGGTGCTGGAAACATTCCTCAGAGATTTTGCTCCATATTGACATGGTAGCAACTCGCAGTTGCTGCAGATTTGTCAGCTGCACATCCGTGATGCCAATCTCCCGTTCCACCACATCCCAAAGGTGCTCTATTGGATTGAGATCTGGTGACTGTGGAGGCCATTGGAGTACAGGGAACTCATTGTCATGTTCAAGAAACCAGTCTGAGATGATTTGCGCTTTATGACATGGCACGTTATCCTGCTGGAAGTAGCCATCAGAAGATGGGTACACTGTGGTCATAAAGGGATGGACATGGTCAGCAACAATACTCAGGTAGACTGTGGCGTTGGCACGATGTTCAGTTGGTACTAAGGGGCCCAAAGTGTGCCAAGAAAATATCCCTCATACTATTACACCACCAGCAGCCTGAACCGTTGATACAAGGCAGGATGGATCCATGCTTTCATGTTGTTGATGCCAAATTCTGACCCTACCATCCGAATGTCGCAGCAGAAATCGAGACTCATCAGACCAGGCAACGTTTTTCCAGTCTTCTATTGTCCAATTTTGGTGAGCCTGTGCAAATTGTAGCCTCAGTTTCCTGTTCTTAGCTGACAGGAGTGGCACCCGGTGTGGTCTTCTGCTGCTGTAGCCCATCTGCCTCAAGGTTTGATGTGTTGTGTGTTCAGAGATGCTATTCTGCATACCTCGGTTGTAACAAGTGGTTATTTGAGTTACTGTTGCCTTTCTATCAGCTCGAACCAGTCTGGCCATTTTCCTCTGACCTCTGGCATCAACAAGGCATTTCTCTTTTTCAGACCATTCTCTGTAAACTCTAGAGATGGTTGTGCGTGAAAATCCTAGTAGATCAGCAGTTTCTGAAATACTCAGACCAGCCTGTCTGGCACCAACAACCATGCCACGTTCAAAGTCACTTAAATCACCTTTCTTCCCCATTCTGATGCTCAGTTTGAACTGCAGCAGATCGTCTTGACCATGTCCACATGCCTAAATGCATTGAGTTGCTGCCATGTGATTGGCTGATTAGAAATTTGCATTAACGAGCAGTTGGACAGGTGTACCTAATAAAGTGGCCGGTGAGTGTGTGTGTGTGTGTGTGTGTGTGTGTGGTGTAAATATCTTTGAGAAATTAATCAAAGTTCTTATGTGGAAATTGTCTCTGTGTCTTCTGTTTCTTTATATAATCCCAGACTGACCAGTAATGTTGAGATTAGGGTTTTGTGGGGCTTATACAGACTATGACAGGACTCTGCCTTTCTCTAAAGATTGATCTTTATGTGTCTGGCTGTTTGTTTGGAGATTATTCTGGGGTTGATCAGATGCTACCCTGATGGCATTTCATGATAGATGAGAATCCAAGCATTTGAAAGGCCTAGTACTTTGCTCACTACTACACTTTAGTGACCTTTCTCATTAATGTGTCTTTTTTTCCCCTTAACTACACTGAAGCAAAAAAGAGTCGCCACAGTCCAGACACAGTTGAAGAACTCAACCTGCTTTTCCCCAAAGGCTGTGACATCATGGGCATTGCAACACCAGGCATTGTCTGTAAGTGTTCCTCTTTTCGGTTTTGCTCATATTTCCTCATTTATAAAGAATAAAACAAAATGTCCACACCCAGCTACAAGGGATCACGTAATTGAATATAACATACCAATGTTTCGAGAAGGAGCTTCAAAGCTATAATTGTACAGATATGTGGCCTTGGCATGTTCATCTGCTAAGGTGCTCTAAAAGTAACCACAAACCATTTTTTAGCATATTTAGGAGGAATAGTTCACCTTTCAGTAGAGAGGACTACGCATTAATCCCTATTTCTGCTTCCTAGTTGGAAAGCACCTCTGGTGGCTTGCATCTCCCTGCCTCTCGCTCTGATAGATTGCCTAGTCTGCCTGGTGCTGTGCTACCTATTTCTCCATATAATCACAACCCTCCGGAGAAGTGACTCCATCAGCCATGTTCTCTTTCCTCAAGATGATGGCTTATCAGGCCCCGATCGTCTGTCAGCTTTAATGGCAGCCTCGGCTGCTTGTGATAACACTCACATTTCGTGATATTGGAGCTGAGGGTCACCACAGGGTCACCGTGCACAACTAATTCTGTTCTAGATTAAGTCTTTAATTGCATACAGTTGAGTCTATAGATATGGATTGTAATAGATTTGCTAAATAGCCCAGAGGCCAATTAAGCATTTTGTTAGAGATGCTATACATAAGAATTATAAAGATGACTCATGATCCACATAGATATAGTGTTAATCCTTATGAACACTGTAATCTGTAACACAGTGGATTGTGGAGATAAATTCTAGCAATGTGCAATATTTGCCTTTTATTGAACATAATTAATGGTTGTCTATTATGTACAATTTCAGTTGTGCTCACTTCAAACCCTAAAATGTAGAAAGTGTAGGAGTGGTGAATGAGGCTGCCTGTCTCATGATCCTGAATATTTATGGAAGCACAGACTGATGTTTTCTCATTTTCACGGTGGCACATCCATCTGCTAAACTGTGAGTGCCTTTGAATGTGCCATTGATTCACGGCTGTGAAGTCACACATTGTGTGTTGACGTTCATGTTTATGGAGCTCATTTGTCCTTTGTTATTGTGTGGTTCCGTATTTAAAAACAATTCTCACCACAGCAGCAACCACCCCGATTGAGTAATGAATTCACTGCCCAAAATATCTGGAGCGGCAGCTCCTCTAATAGCCACTAGATGGTGACTCCTAGAAACGGACTATTCCAAAATCAAGATGAAAGTCTTCAAACTTCTCATTGAAAATATAAAATTAAAAATTGTTTTTAATGGACATTAGGGTTACCGTAGTTCATCTGTCATGTGAATTTCTTTTATGAAATATGAAGAACTATTGTAAAGAACTAAACAGTCAGGTTTTAAGGCAGTGATCCTCAACTTGCGGCTCATATGATTCACACTGGGTATTTTTTCTCTTTGTTCATATAATAAATGCTCAATAACGTCTCTTGGCTGTTATACAAGATGAAGGTTGGGCCTTTTTAATGTGTAACTATTTTACCCAAGAAATATATCTGTTTATTGCCATTAGCATTCCCCTGGTGTCTTGAAGTTGTTGCAAAACTGTCCACTAAGCAAAGCAAGCTGGGTATCTTTGCTTTAGGTCTGGTCTGATTTATTTAATAAAAAATGAATGGTGAGTTAACCAACTGAATGCAGTATAATATATATACATTTAAGGGGCTTCATGATTGGCTCTCTATACAGTGACACCAAGTGGCTCTTGCTCCAGTCCTCCTCAGGAGTACCAGGAGGGGGAGGCTGGCTTTGCAATCATGTTCCCCAACACTGAGGGTGTCCACATCAAGCCCTTTCACTTTTGTAAGAAGACCATCACTCCGACAGCCCTGAAAGAAGCAGGTGAGTGTAGGCTCACAAGTTAATCAATAATTCAAACTTAGAAGTGCCAAACTTCCACAACTTGTTTTTTTTTTTTTCTTTATTACTTTGCTATTTGGTGTACTTTCCTTTCAGGACTAGTTGACAACCCAGAGCTGCGTGTGATACTGTTGTTTTTCTATGAGGCATATAAATCTGGAGGAGCTCGCTTCCTCAGCCAGATACTAGGGCCGCTGGGCAAGAGCAAAGCTCTGATTGCTGGAGGGCTGGTAGAAAGCGTCTTCTCTCCTCCAAGACACTGGTGAGTTAATGTCCTGCAGTATCATCAAGACTATTTCAGAACAAACGGCATGAATAATGTTGAGTACGAAACTGTAGATAGCTACGAATACCTGTGATCAGAATATTTTGAGGTCTGGCTCATTCAGGGGGAGCTCTCGTCATCCACAGTACCAGAGAATATATCTGCTGGTATTGTTCAAAACCCCTGTGTCTCACTGCCAATGTGCACTGATTAAATTTGATAAATAATAGCAGTGTCAGAGTTAAATTGTCAGCAGCATTTTTACTACACACTCTGCCGTGCTCACACTTTCCTTCATCTCTCACTCTGTAGCTGTAGCCAGGGTGCATATGGTGTGGTGGGCCTGGCCCTGAGCGGCCCAAAGGTACAGGGGGCATCTGTGCTGTTGGACCAAGACATCAGCACCCCAAAGGCAGCTGAGGCCACGATCCGGAGGCTAAAGGCAGCCAAAATTCCAGAGAAAAACACTCTGGGGTTCATGTTCGCTTGTGTGGGAAGAGGGCAGAACTTCTACAACAACCAAGCCAATGTCGAGGCAGACGCTTTTCACAAGGTGTTCCCCAACACGCCCCTCTTTGGCCTTTTTGGCAACGGCGAGATCGGCTGCGACCGAATCATTAAAGATGACTACACACTGTGCGACACCGAGATGGACAGTCTGCAGCACGAGTATACTACTGTCATGACCCTGGTCCATCTAGGCTGACTGTCCTGCAGAAACAATGAACAAACAGGATAAAAGACAACCCATCACGCTCGCCGCTGCAGTCGGGAACAACAAACATTATGTACAGAGTGGTGCCCACATTACAGCTCAGAATATTGCTGTCACCATTTCTGCTCATGAAGCAGGAAAATGATCCCTTTAGCCATCAATGTAATGGCAGCATTTGGGAAATCGTGTCCCTCGGAGATTGTGTGTGAACACAGCTTCATATTAAAACTAGTGAGTCTCACACAGTTCAGACATAAAACACAAACTCTTGATGTGATATAGTGCTCTTGTAAAATAGATTTGTATATTTCCCTCCACATTACATACGTATCCAAGGCATATCTTACCCTCAGACATCAGCTTCATGGTCTGTTTGCTTTGCAGGTGAGTAAATTAGACATGCTTGTATCTCTCAAGCTTTTGTTCTAGTTGTTGATTCAGCAAAGGCACTTTTTTGTGATATACGTAAAAAAGGAATGTGGTCCTTCTTCCACATAATCAAGGTATTCTTGATTAGAGCGCTTTTCCTTCTCGTGCAGGTTTTACACATTTGTCTTACCAGTGGAAAAATGAAACCATGCTAGCCTACAAATGATTCAAGATATCTGCCATTATTCAGTCGGGGAATACAGTTAGACCTTTACAGGGCATCTTTTTAGTTGTCACATCTCCTGTTACCTACTTGTAAGTGTTAATGGTTGGGCTTAAAAGTTGCAACACAAGAGAGAACAGGACAGAATGGCTGACGTTGACAGAAACTCTCACCTCATTTTAGCCTGGACTCGTCTGTAGTTTTTGGCTTTAAGCGGCAGGTGTTGGAACAACCGGTTAAAGTCAGGGGGGAAAAAGTGACTTATGCTTTTTGGTCATTAGATGTGAAGTGTTTTGAGTATTACCTGCAACATTTAAAAACGGTAAAGGTTTGTTTTTAAACCTCTTTACCTGGTTGCACATTTACAAAAAAGCTAGAAGATGCCTTTTTATGTATAAAAGCATATTGGCCTCTGAAAATCCTCTGAATGGTACACGTCATGTCGAGGTTTTTTTCCCCCCAGATGATATCTTGCTTTTTCCTCAAGAATAATATCCTGATAACACAAAGGTGCAATTTCCATTCTAAACTGTGTACGTTTGCCCTTCAGGTAGTTGCTCTTATATATATATAAAACAAATTGCTGATATTAAATTCAGCTTTTCCTTCAAAACTGCAACAATGATTGTAGCAGGAATGGATGTTTTTGAGAGTTCCAATATTTTTTATTTTGTACAAAATTAATTAGGGCTCCTTTGCTAAAAGTATCTTCCTTCTTTATATTGTAATACATCCATTCATTCATTCATCCATTTGTCCTTGATAGTTTTTTTTTCTTTTGGAATTAAAATGTATTTTAAGTTAGTCTGAATTTCTCATTGAACAAAGTTGTTTTGGTGTTGATGCACTTTTCTCCATGTGCCAAATCATATCTGTTCTGCTCATCTCCTTAATAAATTCCAAACATATATATATATTTAGATAGACATTTGCTTGTTTTTATTTTTCAACTTTTATTACTAACCCCGCTGTTAAAGCCACTCCAGCAGCAGCAGCAGCATCTTTAAAAGCCACTCTGAGTCCACTGGGCGTTACGCAGCCGTCCTCGGTTGTAACTACAGGCCTACTACAGTTAATTCAGATCACCACTTTTCTTTTTCTTTTCTTTTTTTCCCTTTTTTTTTGCGCACACCCTGAAATCTGCGCCTCAGCCTATAACATCTCCAGCAGCCCACGTCCAGGCGTGTTTAAATAAAGGAAGAGACGCTTCAGATTGATTGATGTGCGCTTTAACCATCGACTGGCTAATCCCGATGAATGACAAACGGTTAAGCCAATTGCTGTAAAGGCAATTTATATTCCCATAGTATCTTTATTTTGGGAAACCATAAAAAAACGCTGATGACACGGAGAGGGACGACCAACCAGGCGTAAAGCTAATAAAATCATCTGTGGCGATAATCCGCTCTCAAATTGGCCTCAATCGGGAACTGAGAAAATTTACTCACAGGCTTTTCTTTCTTTCTCTCTCTCTCTCTCACACACACACACGCACACACACACACGCGTCCACCCCACGGCCAACATTTTTAGACTGCTATGTCGTGACCGGAGCGATGCAAATGTCACACGATTCATTGGCTACTGTCAGTCTCCGGCACAAAAACGTCAATGTTTTGGTGGCCTTTGGATGAAATTCGCTGTGTGTTGTCCGGCCGCCGCCGTGGAAGGGGGTCGGTAGAGACCCGAGGCTTCGTCGGGCTTCGCTTCAGCACCTGGACAGCTCCCCTCGCAGGGTTCCCCGCTGCGCTCGCCGGGGAAACCCTCGGCTGGGGGAGCGGAACCTGGATCTGGATCTGGATCAGCCCCCTCAGCGATCTCAGCCAGGAGAGGAGACGTGCGCTTAAAGAGGGCCGTTATTATTTGATCGCTCTGATAACACTTACAAGCTAATATGATCTTGCCGAGTGACGATGCTTCTTGCATTTGAGCTTCAGCCTCTCTTTGGTTTTGCACTGAAATCCGAGCAGCGCAAGGGAGCAGCGCAAGCAGCAGCAGCAGCAGCAGCGGTGGTGGTGGTGGTGCTCGTCCAATGCAAAAGTGCTAAGGATAGCTGCAGCCTACACACACGGAGAGCCTGCTGCTGCTTCACTTACTCTGATCACCACCGAGGGAGACATTACTATCAGCAAGGGGGCAGCGGGAGGCACAATTACCCGTCAACAATGTAAATCTCACACAGGTAGGTCCTTTACCTCAAATTAATAATTCATTTATGTACAGCCAGGAGCTCTCTGTTAAGTTGTGCACACAACTATCACTCAGTTTCCCTGATGCCAGCAAGTAAATCAGTGCAGGAGCTAATATTACTGGGATGGTAGGAGCGTGGGAAGTCTGACATGCACCCAACTCTGAGGAGCTGCAAGAAACAGAAATGCTCTATGACTGATTAAGAACTTCACATCTGTTGATGACTGCTTGGACTCTATCGTTGGTAGGTTCTTCAGTGGAGTCCCCTGATCTGATTTCAACTTTTCAGAAGAATTTAGAACTTACACAGCCGCAAGTGTAGAGTTGATATTTATTCCTGTGTGCTGTGAAGAAGCTGAATTTATTAGTCATGTATTCATTCAGTATTTTGTTTAGCCTTGCAGATTAAAAATTTTTTTTTTTTAAATGGACAAAATCTCAGAAATGCGCATCATGATGGTGTGGTGATGTGTCCAGGGTGTAACCTGCCTTTCACCCTTTGTCAGCTGGGAAAGGCAGTATCTCCTCAGTGACCCTCCACAGGGTAAAGCAGATGTAGCAAACGGAGTGATGCATATATGGAAAAAATTTCATACGGGTAAATCATCGCCTCTCTACAACATCTCAAAAAAAGACCTTAATAACCAAGGCTGTTGTGTGAAACTGCATCAGATTTAGCTTGGCGTGCCTAATGATCTGGTAACTTTGTGTATTTGTTCCATTATTGGCCGTGTTCTTCCCAGGTTCAACATGACAGCAGTATCTCTCAGGTGGGAAGGTGAACTGCAGCACTAGAACAGGCAGAAGTGAGTGGAAACCTCGTGACAACCACCAAAACTCTTCTCTCTCCGTCACCCAGCATCATGGCTAATGCTGAGTAAGTACAGTGCACACACTATGTTTACCAATGATCTCCCTCCATTCTCTCTCTCGCCCATCCCTGGCTGTTTAAACTACAAAGTGGTGTGAAGAACTGAATTCCTGTTTGTTCCTCTACATCTAGGAAGAAAATAGTCAAAGGGTTACCATCAAATATTGGAAAGTCAGACTTATCAGAAGAGAAAATCATACAAGAGCTACTCTGTATCTGTAGGACAAAAAGCATTTTTTAATGAATCCCTTTCTCCTCCTTCTTGTTGCATTTATTTCCCCACCATGCCTCTCTTATTCTGACTTCCTCCTCTTACTCAGTCCCTCCTCTTTAGCTGCTTCCCAGGTTTCCATGTCTCCCTTTCTACAATAATGACCTTTATTCCCTCAGACACTGCTCCCGTTGAGGTGTCTCTGACCCCTGTTCCTCTGAATGCACAGGCACATGGCGAGATGCACATTCATGCAAACACACCTGCAAACACAAAGCTGACTATAGAGCGTTTCCTCTGCAACCAGCTCACCGCATTAACCCCTCTCTGTGGAACAACGTCCACTTTATTGATTATTATTATTACCCACGATCATTACAAATTAACACGTTTTATTTCCAACAAACCACCCCCGGTTTTCTCCCAGCTTTCCCATTTTTTAATCTTTGCTCTCCAATCTGTGTACTGAGAACAGCTGATGCATTGCTGAGGGAACATGCTGTAGCCTGTGTGTACGTTTGTGAGTGTGTGTGTGTGTGTGTGTGTGTGAAGACAAAGTAAGAGGTAAGGGAGAACACTGAAAATCATTATTCTCTGTCGACTCATGATTCTGCTGGCGTAGTATGACTCTGTAATTTGTCTCATCTTAACTAGCTGCATTTATTCTCTTGACCTAGATGAATAGCCTTAAATCATTGCTCCATTTGTGCTTTTATGAGAGAACCAGTTCTGCTTGTGGTCCCATACAGAGCTCGGCTCCGTGGCGCTCAGTAGCCATGCCACATCATGCTGTGTTTAAGGTGAAAAGTGTTCTGAAACAGATGACTACGGCTCAGGATTGTAAAAAAAAAAGAAGCTCTCAGTGTTCACGACTGATGATCGTGTAATGAAGTAAAATATTTGTCATTTTAGTTCCTCTTTTATCAAACAGTTGCACCAAAGGTTTTTTTTTTTTCACGTATTATTCTGCGCCTTGGTTTTCATAGCACTTACATCATTTGTACAGCTGGAAAAGCAAATGATTTGTTTTACACGAATTGGCAACCTTGATTCTATATTCGGACTCTGATATATTCTTAGATTTATAACATTTTTAATTAAGCAATTTCAATCTGCGTCCTGTCAAATCAACCTCTTATTGTCAGTGGTAAAAAAAGAATGCAGAACTTTCACTCAAATGAAGTACTTCAATCAAAATTCCACTTGAACAAAAGTACAGAAGGATTACCATCAGAATTATATCATACATATGAAGTCAAATCACTCCTCCTTCAGAATTGTGTGACTTTTTTCTGATTCCTAAAGGCAGTGTATGTGATTCTGTTCCAATACATTCAATCTGCTAGCTGTCGTCTCTGTGTGAGAGCTGAAAAAAATCCCATTTTCCTACACAACCCCAGTGGGAGCAAGAGGGATGATAAATCTGCCACATGCTAATTATTTAAATACTAACAACCTTCCTCCAGCATCACAGACTCCACTTCTAATGTAGCAATGTGTACACAACCTTTCATTGTTCAAGATGCAGCTAATTTTGGATACTTTATATACTTTTTTTTTTCATGCTTCGTCCAGTAACAACCCTCCAGAGCATTAAAAGATAAATTGGAGAGGTTGCAAGAGGATTTATGGAAGGGGAAAGAAGACAAAACAAAGTGAACAAATTCGTTTTTTTTTTACCTTTTGGTAATCTTCACTTTAGGCTCCATCTTTTATAAAGTATCACAATCCAGAAAGGTTTAATATTTAGCAAAACATTGTTTTTGGTAAAGTTATCAGATGTTTCTTAATCTTAAAAAAAACAGCTAGTGACTATATTTGTCACATAAGTGTAGTTGAGAAAAGTGTAATATTTCTGTAAAATATAGTGGAGCACAAGAAAACAATAGCAGAAAATGGAAACGCAATAATAGTTAAGTGAATTTACTTACTTGCTTTCCAACAATGCTTGATTTTAGCTGCAGTTTTGTGTTTCATCCTCTATCACTGCCTGAGGTTTGCAACTTGACTCAAGCTTTACAAAAAAAAAAGAAAAACTCTGCTCATGTTCACAAATCTAAGCTGCAGAGTCTAACTTCATGGGATTAATGTACACACTAAACTGCAATTTTAGTTTGGATTCTGAGGGTTCCTCGGTGTTGGACGGGACAATTCATCTTTCCAGCCGCGTTGCTGTTTACACTGTTTTTTATGGAGCGCTAGTGGGAGGCTGGAGAGGTTGGACAGTTTTGCCTCTTTTGTTCAGAGGGTGGGAGTTGATGAGCACATGAAGTCTTTCTGCCTTTTGGGAGAAATACTGTCTATGAGTGGCCCCATATTCTGCCTAATTGGCTGCTTTCGTAAGCGTACTGATGTATACAGTTCATTAGCCGTGGATAATAAGATATATGGGTTAGGAGGTCTCTGTTAGCAAACATCAGGGCTGATCTGTTTCTAAAATACTTTAATCAATAGTATCTGTCAGTCAGTTTAGGGGCTGACTCCACTTTTATTTGTCAAGATCAAGTGCTGCTCAATTTGTAAAAACAATTGCATATCCAAAGGGAGCTTTTAGTAGATACTAAAAGACCCTGATGATGCCACGTGGGTTGTCTCCGCTTTGGAGAGTTCGTATATACATTTTTTTTGTGTGTTGACTCCTCCAACTT